GATTGAAACTAGATGAAAGAAAATCAGAATTAAGCATTCAAGCGGAAAGCTCTTGTAATTTTTTTAGATAATACCAAGCTTCTTGCTTGGAACAGTGACTTTTAACAATTATTGCTTCAAATTGTGTGCAGAACAAAGAAATTGCATCGTTCTTCAGAAAATCTTCTTCCAAATGGAGGAATTCGTCTGAGAAGCTGCGTACTGACTCATAATTTTTTTCATCAACATTTACCATGCAAGTTTGGAATTATAGTTGTATATAGATCTTGTCATCAGTAAAATATTTTTATTTGTTTCCCCTCTTGTCACCCTTTCATTTACCCATTTATTAATCAACTCACATATCCTCTATAAAACTAAAGTCTACATTTACCTATGCATATTTACTTTACCAATTCATTGGTATCAGCCAGCACGGCCTTCAAATTTAAAACCTTTTTGTGTTATAATGTAATGCACAGTATCTAAATTTATGGAAATGTGTTTGTTTCAAATGCTCGACCACTCCAAATCTGGCGGCTTCTTTGCCATTTCGCCAGTGCGTGTCTTTACAGTCAATTTCAGCTGACTTTTCATCGTAAGATTCCGAACTTCGTTCCGAACTTCGCAAATTCGTTGCCAAGTTCAAAAGTTCATAATGAAATTCACAAACAGGTTTGTAAACTGGGCATTTGATTGGCTGGTTTGATTTAATTGCCAATCAGAGGCTTTGTTTACAAACCTGTTTGTGAATTTCATTATGAACTTTTGAACTTGGCAACGAATTTGCGAAGTTCGGAACGAAGTTCGGAATCTTACGATGAAAAGTCAGCTGAAATTGACTGTAATATTTATATTTTCATTGATTTTGTTCCAATATTTTGGTGTATTTGTGTTTATGGTATTTGCATTCGTGTATTTCTATTGTATTCTAAACTTTTAATAGACCGTATGGATATTAGACTTTTTTGTTTTTTACATTTCAGCAGTTTACCTTGTTAGATGTATATCCATTGTACGGGAACTTTACGTTTTATGGAACATTGCACAATGAAATAAAATAGGCACAAAATTTAGAAACTACAGTAAATAATGATGTTTGTGATGTTACTCTGAGTGTATATCCACACCGGGCAAGCTTGAAAAATATGCCTGGCCACGGTGGGAATCGAACCTATAAATAGTAAATAATTTGAGATCAGCTTAAGGCCTGACAAAAACGCCAGGGCTGGAAAATGTCCGGCAGCGCCGGCAGCACCGCTGCCAGGAAATTTTTCACAAAAATTACTCGCAGGAAATATTTTTGTATCTCGCAGGAAATTGCTATTGAGTAGATTTAGATTACAAGTGTATGGGAGAACGTAAATCAGATTACACTGTATTCTGTAAAGTAAACACTACCATTTAGGCATTTACAGGCAACTGCGAACGTTTTTGAGTTTGTCTTTGTTATTAATAACAGTCTTAGTTTACGGTTCAAACGCACAGATTAGCCCTTACCAACGAACGTATCAGTTTCGACCTATCAATCAAACAGTTTGAACAGCGATTTACAGACATTTCCGGAATCTGTTGCTGAAGTTGTCAAAGATAATGTGAAAGATTTGATAAAAACCACTACCGCAAACAGGATTTGCGCCTCCTGTTAAAGTGTTAGCAGACAAAGCAACATGCAAGCATCGCACTCGACAGTTTGTTGGTTTGACTAACGTAATACCAGATGCCGATGACCTTCGACAATATATGTTTCTGGGGCTACCAGTTGTGAAAATTCACATTGGGGAAGGTGTCGGCCAAAGTATTATATCCGTGCTGAAAGAGTTCGAGATATCGGCCGAGCAATTTCAAGGTGGATCAGTATTTCCACTTTTCTGTTCCTGACGTCCTAAATATCCACTTTGTCACAGAAGGAAAAGACGCGTCTGTTCATTATGATTATGATCTCATGCACAAAGCTGGCTTGGTTGACAGTCATATTCGAGAAGATGACAATTTCAAGTTTCTGAATAAGGTAACTGAAGTTGGTGCAGCTGTTCTCAAGAATTTCAATTGAGGGAAGAATTACGAAGCACTTGCAGATGCGTGTGAATCCTTGGGACAAGTGCTTGCAAATCCAGCTAAGTATAGCACTACTCGTTTTGCAAGTAGTGTCAGGAAAGTTTATATGAACTTTCGTAAGGATTATCGTGCAACTGTGCAGTGTCTCGAGATGACAAAGACTGAAAAGAGAGACGGTGACTCGAAAGATAGGCAAAATGCTGTTGTTGCAGAAAAATTCATGAATTTCATTTGCTGTCAAGTTCGTATTAAGACTATCTGGTATAACTGATATTGATGAGAAGTATGGAGAATTGGTAAATGTGGTGCAGAAAGTCAACTCTCTTCCTCATGAAAGAATATGTCCGAAAGAATGAATCATGACACAAAATCCTGCTCTTGGCTTGTATATCATGATGATATAAAACAATTGAATGATACAGGTGAGTACATGGGTGTACGAAGAGGGGCCAAATGTAACAAGGTCTTTAGCCAGAAGAGCAAATAATAACAAAGCTGAAAACGTGCGAGATAAATGCTCATCACACGCTTGGAGAAAGATTTACGCGATCAAGTCTTCTCTCAGTCAGACAAAGAAATGATCGAGGATCCCAGGTTGATTACTGATTTGAAGACCACTGCAGTTAGAATAAAGTTGAGAGGTGCCATCCTTATTTCGAATATAGAAAGAGCGAAGTATAGTATGACGACGATACGCAAAATAATCCCATCCGTTAAAGAGGTTCCGGACGAGACCATAATTCTTCTATTTGAAGAATTTCTGGTACGGCTGGAGCAAGTCGTCAGAACCAAAAGAATGATGATTTCGATAGCAAAGAACTTACTAAGTTATTTTTGCGCAGCGACAAAGAGTTGTACAAAGGAATTGAGATAATTATCCACTTCATTTGTGTGTCCGCTGTGAAAGTTTCTGTTCAATCAGTGATTGAATCATTAACATCAAAGTTTGAGATTCACTTCAATAAATTTAGAAATGTGAATGAGGATACCGCGTACAACGAAATGATGGTCGGAGTTAATGGTCCTTTACCACTCCAATGTGATAAAGTTGTGATGGCGGCTATGAAACAACATTTCAAAGGGCAGCATGGCATTCGCTTTATAAGAAGTCGAATGACATCAGCCTATTTGACACAGTGGGTGTATCTAACAATTCTAAGGTTGTAAACAGAATGCTGCAAGAGAAGTCAAGACTGCCGTTCATGCAGTATAGAAATGAATTGAATAAAAATTTCGGAACTATTTTCTGATTGTTACAAAGCTATAGCTACTGATGAACGTCATGACTTCATTTATGATTTTTTCTATCTATAAGTAGGCTATCTAACCTTGATATTTATACAATAATTATACCGTTAGTTACCTGTAATAATCTATCAATAGTATAGAAGTAAATGGATAAGTACAGTACATAGTTACATAAGACTGATGAGCGATAACTGCATCATTGCATGATCAGTAATAACAGAAACTCAGAAAGACAAATAGTCAACTGAATAATTTCCCATGCAGAACAGCCAGAATAAAAAAAAGTTATTTCAATGATGTTAGAGTCATTGATGTTCCTGTCGACCGTCGAGTGTAGTAGCTGCTTTTTAAAAGTATATAATTTCATTTTTCGCATTAGTGCTTGTCCTCTTAGTTATAAATAAAAAAATCTCGCAGGAAATTTTTAATTAGTTTAGCAGGAAATTTCTATTTTTGGATATTGCTGCCAGGAAGAGAAATACTTTATCCAGGCCTGAAAAACGCTCTCCTATTTTCTTACCTGTAAACCCTAGTTTGAAACATGAGCGTATCTTTGAAATGGACCATGTTAACTGGACATTCACACGCGGCGTAATCGACCTTTGCACTAACTCCAAGTGATAATGTCCTTGCTGAATCCTCAATCGCCGTATGCGCTGGTTCTGCTTCTGTTTCGTAAATCTTCTTCTTCGTTGCTCTTTCTCTGCCCACTTCTGATGTTGCTTTCTGACCTCCAGATGATAATCCTTCCTCGCGAGTTGTTGTTCGACCATTCACATCAACCCACTTCACTGTTCTCATGCGGTCATCCCAATCTATGGCCTGCAGATGAAATTAGTCGTATTGATTGATTTGTTTAGTTTTGTCACATTGAATACATACATAGAATAATATCAACTTAAGGTTGCTAGATTCAGTTTTTTTAAAAAGAGAAAAATTGGATTTAGATTTTTGGACAATTTAAGTATTACTTGTTGAAAACAAAACGAAAACATCTAAATTTTGTTGAAAATAATTGAGCATACTAAGAGAAATCATTTTATGAACATAAATTTGGGGGTCACCGATGTCGTTTTCGAGTGAAATATTACCTTAAAGCCATGCTGAAACGTCATTCTTGTCATATAGCAAGGGCAGTTGTGTACATTTTGTGGAAAAATCAAATCCTTTAGATTTTGTTTTACGTCAGTAAAATACATTTTGTTTTTCAACAAGTAATAATTGTCCAAAAATACGGATCTAAATTGTGAATTTTCTATTTTTGCAAGAAACTGTATTGAGTCACCTTACAGCAAAAAACTGCATGGCTGTTTTATTTCAATTGTGGATTGTTTCGGTTCCTTAGTTAATCAATAGTTACAAACCCCCCAACTTTCCCTATTTTCTAAATAGAATTATAGTTCTGTTATTATATCACAGAAAGTAGCCGGCGGAATAGCCGGCAGTAAATCTCGTAGCCCAGCACTCGCACGCTCCTGGGCAGAAGGTCGAAAGGCTATAATATAACAAGTTTTTACCTTCTTTCCATCCTCAGCGAGCTTTATCTTGGTTACTTTGCAGTTGATTCCAGCACGATCTAATGTCAGTGGTTTATCAGAGGTAAATGACACGGAGATATCCTTAGCACAGTTCGCGAGGAGATGACCAGTACATGGTGAGAATGTTAGACCATCGGGTGGAGACCAGCTAAATCTTACTGCATCATGCTCAAGGTGATTCGTGAGTGTGAACGAGACTTTCTTTGCAACACCGACTGAACAGTCACCAAAGAAGACTTGGTTCACATCTAAGAATGAAGAATACATTCTTCGGGAATTAATATATCAATGCTGGGAATTAATATATCAATGCTGGGAATTAATATATCAATGCTGGGAATTAATATATCAATGACTAAATGTGGATGTATGAGCATTGTTAAGCCTGTGAGAGTAGAGATTTACCTACAATTCTGGCAAAAAAATCATCGTGGACACCGCGCGCGTCAAACAAAAATATATGTATTTCTACTGAATTAATCCCCCAGAAAATTTCTTCCCTCTCCTACCCCCAATTCAAATGAATTGAAATGAAACTTTTAAGATTTAAATGCGAGAAACAACATTGAATAGGGGGCAGGGGGCGACAAATTTCATAAAAGAACGTCTCAATGTTAATATTGGCGTTACAAAAGTTAGGTGTCCACATAATTTTTGCCAGGATTGTAGGTTGATTGACTGATGGACCTGCATGCACTTAAAAGTTAAAAGCCTATGTTAGTACAATACACCCTTTCGATAATTACGTCATTTGGCCTGGGAGCCTCGCTCTCGTGAGCCAATCACCTTGCGTAATTTACTAATGAGAGCGAGACTTCATGACCAAAAAGTATGTGTGACGTAATTATCGAAAGGGTGTATTCTGGTTGGTTCTCCCCAGTGATTTGGCTTAAAGAATCACAGTCAACCAAGATGCATTGCGCGCTAAAATGTTTTCATTGTTTTGTATTCCGCCATTTTGTTAGCCAGTTTATTGACGAACAAGACGCTCCACGGAGCGTTTAGTCGCTGGGGCGATGGCAATATGCAACTTTAAGTGAAAGTAATAGCACTAATTAAAGAAGAGCGTGTTTGTTTTTCCGAAATATTGATTCTTGAAGTTTGCAGTTTGCTTGGTAGTTAATATAGTTAATAAAACAAGTACAACCATAGCAATGTTTGAATTTAATATCGTATGTGTTAAAATTATAAGCGTTTATCCTGTTGTCATTACACAGATCGGCTGGTGTTATGTTACCAACTGGCCGCTTTAATAGCTAGCTAGTTAGTGCATCGAAGGCTGGAAGGCAACAATCAGTATTTTTCGCCACTTCGTCTCGAAACTAGACGCATAACGTCTGTCTATTGTCTAATACACTGAATAATGCCTCGTGAGAGGAGAGGTATTTCGCATGATTACCAAGCGACTAGCTAATGACCGGTGTCTGCCACTATGTATAGCAATCAAGTTACCACCACAAGATATCAGGAAATTGAGTTCCTCCTTTTCAGCTTTTGGTAATACATTTTGTCCCAATGAACCTTAATCCTTCATAGCTATTTATTAAATAGGAATAGGATGTAGACTCGAAAGAAGCAGTCGATGTCTGACTTTAAGTTTAATTTATGAAGATCCAAAAGACCACAATATTATTACTGACTGGAAAGTTTGGACATTGCGCGCCGGAGATTTCGAAAATTCAATAGTAAATATATAGAAAGCATCAAAATTGCGCGCCCGATATATCCGCCGCGCGATACAATGAAACAGTGAAAGGTCGTGATACTTTTAGAGCATTCAGATTCTTATTCAATAGCGAACTTTTGCACGCTATTCCATGGTCGCCATTTTGATTTATATTTCGTAAGCATTACGTAAATAAAATGACGTAATTTGTCATTTTGTGGCGTACCAAAGGGCAAACCTAGAGTCGGTGGGCACCACAGGTGGCCCCACCGACTAAATATTGACATCCGAAACGTATCCTTATCAATCTGCATTATTCTTGGACGATGTCATATTTTCTATACCGGGTGGCCCAAAAAAAAGTACTCCTGTTTGATTCGTAATAACATCTAAACAAGTATAGCTTTTAAAGAGAAATAACTTGCATCAAATAGAGGAAGGACTAACTTAGACTTTGATATATTACAGTTGTATTTCACTTAAAATTTCACGGAGATATTAATCTTTAAATTCGGGAGGATATTTCTGGATGTGTCTGAAATATGCAAAAATCGGCGTATCAAATATTAATCAAGATTTGCCCGACTGAAACATGCACTATTACCAGTAAATAAATGACACTTGACAAATTGTTTATTATGAAACAAAGTATTATTATATCTATTAATCCTGCTCTAACCGAGAAATAATCAACTTTGTTTTGAACCCATGAAAAACATAAAAAATAGGTTATTTAAGAAAAATTGAAGCGCCTGCCTTGCATGGTCTTTCAGTACCTTAAGTTTGCAAAGACCTATTAAATACTTACATAATTTCGAACGTTCATATTTCAGGAAACAATAAGTTAAGACTTACATGTAAGATGTCTAAATCTACGCCATATCCCTTACAAACCCTAACGACAATTCGCTGAAATACAATTTACCCTGATATGTCATTAAGCAAACAAACGCTGGAGTGAAATTTGATACGCCGATTTTCGCTAATTTTAGACACATCCCAAAATATGCTCCCGATTTTGAACATTAATATCTCCGTGAATTTTTAAGTAAAATACAACTGTAACATATCAAAATCTAAGTTAGTCCTTCCTCTATTTAATGCAAGTTATTTCTGTTTGATAGCTTTACTTGTTTAGAAGTTATTATAAATCAAACAGGAGTACTTTTTTTTGGGCCACCCGGTAGTTGGAATATGTTAATAGATCATTGATTGAGATTTTGGCGTGTGTGTTTATCTTAAATTGATTATAGAAAGATGGCTATTCATGGCTTCTGTATTTCCCGTTCGTGGAAGACCAACAAGCGAGGGTATATCAAAAAGAATATTGTTGACAAGTTCGACGATACCTGAACAACCATCCTTTGGACGGAAAGGAAAGAAAGCCATGTAATACGGGGGCTTTCGCATTGCGAGTTCGCCGAAATCCTGCTCCATCAAAGCAAGGACGAACTGCGTGAACGTAGTAGGCGATGGGGGCAGGAATTAGGATTTCAGCAAAACACCAGGGGGTAAATGTATTCATGGCAAGAAATTTTGGACATTTGCCTATTAAACCTGAGCTCGTTCCCAGTCCCCAGAAATTTCAGCGATAAATGGTTGAAAATCGCCAAAATTATGAACAAAACCGTATATTAGAGATTATTTTTATTGCTTTTCTAAAAAGTAGGAACGGATACATAAAATATGTTCATAATTCTATCTATAAACGTCAAAATTTGCCGAAAAATGAATAATATGCTAGGGGCAAAATCGTTTCGAAACTTTGTAATCCGATAGAATAAATCTCTATGTTGTGACGCGAAATAGGTGCGCGGTCAGACGAAAAAGCGGCATATCCAATCGGAGCATGCGTAGTCTCAAAAGTAGGAGCAAATTCAGAATCGCTTCACTGTGACGAGCATTTCGATACTAAATTATTGTTGTTTCGTCCTAAATATCTGGGGGCAAAATGCGTATTTCTTCAACCAAGTCTGCGTGTAAACACAGGCGCTATCTGCGCATTTGGTTGTTCGTATATTGCCTGGTTTTAAAGAATTCTCGCTCAACTGGACGTATAATTAGCACATCATAAAGCCTAAACCAAATATAAACGATTGCGCAGCATATTCCTTGAGTTTCAGAGTCCGTAAAAGGATGCTAACGTCGTTTGTTGTTGTATATGGAATCTCGCAAAGGCCAACACTGCAGACCGCTGTGGGAGATCTGGCCTGATGTATCGCATTTCTTGATATAGCAGTATTTGCATTTTATTATATATTATATCCCTCCATGCGTTTATTTGGACTTTATATTTATGTTTATATCAATTCAAACCTAAGAATGATGTAAATTTGAAATGCTTGTCTATGTTTGATATGCGCATTACTGAGGATCACTGCATATGTCCTATTTATATGGGCAATTTATTGGTATGAAAGTTTTTTGTTTATAATAAAGCTAATGCATATCATTTTTAGTGTATGACTATGTTCGAAGACAACACTATTTTTCGCTCTCCGTATTTGTAAACATTCACATAGCGCACAATGCATCTTGGTTGACTGTGATTCTTTAATAGTTGAAGGGATTTATAGATGAAAATTCCGAGTGGTATATTTATACATTGCCTTTTTCGCAACTGCTCCTGGTTAAGTCTAGTACATTTATAAGAATTCCACTCAAAATTTCAATCTAGCATATTGGTATAATACCCACCATTACGATCATTGCTGCCATCCCCTAAATCTCTGGTTCCATCACCGTTGATAATATTATCAATAGTAACATCCTCCTTGTATCCCTCGCCCAACAACTGAAGCGCATTCTGTTCGTACGGGTTATCTCGTACTGTAAATCGGATTTCTCCAATTACTTTGTCGGTCAACGTAGGCTTACACTGCACTGCAAACTCTATTGATCTCGAGGTGGGTAGTCGGAAAAGAATATCATTTGGAGTGATGTGTTTTGGTGGGGTATTGTCTTTCGGAATGCCGTCGTCTTGCGACAGACTAGTACGAGTTATAGAAAATGACTTCTCGGGGTCTGTGAGTGTCATCTTGACATCAGCATCCAGATTACCATCGTTTGTAAGGACTAGCGGTAATACTTGAGCTCTGCCAACCAGAAGAGGTTTGAATAACATAATCAGGTTGCCAGCTTTGTTGCGAGTTGCAGGTCGTTGAATGCTTACTCTTGGCAGATTCCCGTCGCCCTGAATGTCAAAAGTGAGACTACGATACCGTGACACGACCCCCGTCATGCCATCCACAGCAGCTTCAAATATCGCGGAGTAAACCTGCATTGCGGGGGGTATGAACGCCACGGTTACATAAAGACTGCCGTATCTTCCAATGCACGCGCGGGAAGGAGTAACTTCGTATACATCGTGCCATTTTGCTGATGCTTTGTTTGACATTGGCTTCACTGTGATCATAATATCGCACGATATCTAAACATGGGAAACAGAATAAACATACTTGAGGCGAACTATTTCACTGTATACTGGGTGTCCCCCAAAAAACTGGACACTTGATTTCATGTAACGTAAAAACTATACAAGCATTCGCACTAAAATAAAGATCATTGCATTCAGAAAGGACTAACCTAAATTTTGATATATAACACTTAAATTTACACGCAATATTGAGCGAGATACAGCAAAGTAAAAAAAAACATTATTTAACAAGCATAACTACATTGGTAATTAAAGGTTGTTTTATGCTAATACTTCAATAGTTCAACGTTCAAACATCAATAGCGCAGTCAATATGCATGTAAATTCAAGTGCTATATATCAAAATCTAAGTTCGTCCTTTCTGAATGCAATGATCCTTATTTCATTGCGATAGCTTTTATAGCTTTTACGTTACATGGAATCAAACAGTGTCCAGTTTTTTTTGAACACCCGGTAGTCGGGAACGTTTCTGATTTATTGACAGAAATTTGGAGTAAAAAGTTTAAATCCTCATTGAGTTATTGTCTTATAAATAAGTCAACGTAAAGCGAATGAAAGAGCGCGCGAAAATTCTCGACTAAGCGCACGAAATCATGCATTTCTCTATTTCTCGTCATGGGTAGCCACCTATGACACGCCCTAGAAAACGAAGTTTGGTAACCCCCGCCCTCCACTCATTCAAAACAAAGAAAGATCGCAAATGACGCAAATTGTTCAGCTGTGCTATTAGGTATTTCAATAGCTGTGGGTGTACTGGGTCCTGCACTTCCAGAAAGTTTTAAGGTTTGAAAATCAAGAGTGGCCATTCCCTGCGTTTTAGAATGAAAGTTGGTTTTAGTTTTTGCTTTAGATCGTCTACTACAGTGTATCCAAACACATGTAATATAATATACGCTGCTCAGGCACGCGTTATGGGTTTGAAAATTCTACATTTTCCCGAAATGATCCAAAACTCAATTCTACAGAACTGCCAATTTTACGTTTTACAACTACCCATTTAATTTTAGATCTGCCCATTTTGGAAAATGGAAGGACTTCGGATGACCCCAGTTAGCAATGAGTACAAATCCATGCACTTTGCATCTCTAAACAAGATGAAACTGTTCGTCTTAAATATCTGACCTTGTTTGGATTGGTGATCTTGAACCTCGCATAACTTTTCCTTCCAACAATGGAATTAAAGAACATAAACTTATTCTCTTGTTCCCCGTAGACACCAGTTCCACTATCCAATTCAGCCGATTGGAATTGGAAGCGACTTAGACTCTGCACTACTCGATGTTCTTCAAATATAGAACCAATATATTCTGGACTGATAACACTGATACCAGGGATAGCTACTTCACCAATTAATTTGTATGGAATGCCATGAGGATTGTCTGCTGGTAGTCTATCTGTGATGTCGATACCTAACACCTAGGACAATTAAACAAAAAGATGTAATTGTAAAAATACGAGAACATATCAACAACAACAACAACAACAACAACAACAACAACAACAACAACAACAACAACAACAACAACAACAACAACAACAACAACAACAACAACAACAACAACAACAACAACAACAACAACAACAACAACAACAACAACAACAACAACAACAACAACAACAACAACAACAACAACAACAACAACAACAACAACAACAACAACAACAACAACAACAACAACAACAACAACAACAACAACAACAACAACAACAACAACAACAACAACAACAAAGAAAATAGTAGCAAAGAAAATAAGCACAGCAACAATATTACTATAACACAAATCTTACTTCTTCAGAGTATCCCGGGCTCTCTCCCATCATGTCGATTGTAACTTGCATTGATGAACCCGGAGCTATCACGCCCACAGCAGGATACAACGTAAATATTCCAATCTGTTGACGGATATTTGGTGCACCACCACCGAAAAATTCACTCCTGAAAAAGATTTATTAACACTTTAAATTACGGGAGTTGATGGGGGTGAGGGAAGGGTTGATAGGAGAAAGTGTTGACGGGGGAGAGGGTTGATGGGGAGAGAGTTGATGGGCGTGAGAGGGTTGATGCGTGAGAGGGTTGATGGGGGGAGTTTTGATAGGGAAGATGGTTGATGGGGGAGAGGGTGTTTCCCTGCACGGAAGTGTAAGTCCATAATGAACAATACTTACCCTTTGACCGAATCAGCTCGTCTGGGTTTCGCTCCTACGCCAAGACTTACCGACCCTTGATGTTGCTGGGTCGGCTGTTGAGAACGGTTAGATCCAGAACCGTCTCTTTTCATACCAGGCCCGATCTGTTTCTGTCGTCCTAAAGCGCTAATCATCTTCATGATAGTATAGCGGAAATCAAATTCTCCTTTATTCTCGATCGTGAATGTTCGTGTTTTCTTCGTGTTAATGAGAGCTGCTCCAAAATTGATGTCGCTTACGGGATAGATAGTGTATTTACTGTGAACTGAACGAACGGTGACTTTAACAGGAATACTGGCTATTACTTCACCACTATCACCAATGTGAGGCTCAATTATCTAAAACAGGACAGTGAGGACACAAACATAATAAATATGAATACAAGTACTTATACGTACCGGAGGTACGCCAGTATTACGGTCTAGTACTTCTTTGTTTCAGCCAAATATCATATAGGTACGCTATCCGCGTATACTAACCTTTTGCTGGACCATGTGGCTTTCCAAGCCCAAGGTATTTATACAGGGGCATCCGCCCCTGTCATCCTCCGCCCTAGTCATAATCCGCCCTAGCATCATCTGCAAGAAGGGGTGCAGGTTTTCCCTGGGGTGGTGCACGAGGGAGCCTACCTGCTCAATATTACAATTACTTGAGATGGCCGAATCTCATTACTTGAGTTCTTCGTCTTACGTTTTACATTATCTTTTGTTTAAAAAATTTACATCGGCTTTTTATCACATATGCGTGACTGGACAATTGCAACTCAGTTGGTTAGAGCGCTGCACCAGAAACGCAGTTTCGATTCATGGCAGAGGGTCTATAGCTGCATTTTTTGCAACTGCCCCTGGTTAGATCTAATACATGTATAACATTTACATTCGAAATTTCCATCCACAAAACATTTCAACAATGATTTGCCTTACCTGGCATTTCAACATAGTCTCATCTTTGAATGAGATTTCGGAACGTGATTTGAACACAACTGCCACTTGTGTAGGTCTTTCTGTGGGTAAGAGCACACCTTTCGGAGGAACAATCGTAAGTATATCACCGATATTGGTGTTCTTTGTTGTATCAAACACAAAATTATAACTGATCTCATAACGTCCCTTGTTCTTCAGTGACATGGACTGCTTGCTTTCGTCAAACACTTTCAATACGCCAAAATCAAGACCGCCATCAGCTCCTGTGAAAGAGAAGATTAAAACATTTAAACAAACGAAACGTCTGCGTGCCATTTACCCATTCTGCTTATAACCATTAGCAAGGTTCAGTGTTTGACTTGCACTGCTTACAATTAACATATCAGATGCGTGTAATCGACCTGATTAGCCAATCAAAAGGGTACTAAGCCAGTGAAATAGCGGTAGTGGAAATCGAATCGGAATCAGGAAATAGTCCAGCACAATGCAATTCCTACTAATACAAGTCTATTGCAACCCAAATTTGATGACCATGCAAGTTATTCCAGCCCTGGCTAGTATTTATTTGAAAATTCCTTATAAATCCCCACCGAATATTACAATACCCAAATATTTAATACCTTTGAAATAAAAAAACTAAACGAATTATTTTGGCATTTGTTGAATTTTGAAATATTCCTTGAATCCTACATCTCAAGGCCCATTTACACGGTACGATTAGTTGTATACGATTCTTACTCTGGCGTATGTGATCGAATAAACACGCGTACAAACGTCACATTTCAAATTTTGCCATCAGCGAATGAGCAATAACGTGGCATTAGCACTCGTTTTCATTCGTCAGAATGACAATCGTATACAACTAATCGTATCGTGTAAATGGGCCTTTACACTTTCCCTAATAATATAATCACTAACATATGTTCCTCCCACTTAAAGTATCTACTAAATATAGCTAATGTCAATAATGCAAGAGAGGTGTGTCTATAACAATACTACCAGCATATTATTCCCAGGCCAATGTATGCAAGTCCCTATTTCTCACCATTCCCCCGCGCGCTACGTCATGTTATTTGCACTACGGAAAAACCCCGTTTTCCACGAGGCGAATTTGTGTCGGCCTCACTTTTGCTGACGTGATAAGCGGATGGCGACAAAGGATAAAGTCGCTTCGCGCGAACAAATTCGCCTATAGTGATAAATAAGCTATAGTGGATCAGAGAGTGCCTCCGTCACTCACTGGGAAGTAACTCGTATGTACCTTTTGGAAAACTGATGTCCAAAGCAACATCATAAGCCTCTCCGATGACTTGAATATTTTCAGCTTGAACTAAACCCATGATCTGTTCAACGTCTGATACCTAAAAGTAGATATAGAATACTGTATATTTTCTCTGATTAGCCCCCTGAGACGGTTAACTGTAATTAGTTAACTTGCGTGGGGCATTTAAACACAAAATTACACAAAGTAAGGAATGATTAATGACCGCTGACAAGTATTTTAACATGATTCAAAATAGTGAAAAATAAACACCAAAAACAAGGCAATAATCAACAAAGAAGGCAGTTTTTCCGTGAGATGTTTGGCAATTATATCAGTGTTTTTTGGTGTAATGGGTCCTACTTCGTCTTCAAGAATCTTCCTGCGAAAAATATATTCTATTTTCACCAAAAACCCAAAGCGATAGTCTGTCAGGAAACATTCACAGGCAAGATAGTGATTGAAAATCCCTGATAGGCCTTGCTTTTCATTATATGTTTTACTGACAAATGATGTTTACTCCTAAAAGCTTATAACTATACATTTATACGTTTTAGCTGCAGTTCAGGCTAACTACATTTTTTACAACCGACTTAACTACGGTGGTTAACGTTAACTATTTTAACTACAAAATGGATAGTTAATAAAATGGATAGCTGGGAAATCCTCTTACGTTGACTATGGTGTAGGAAGCGAGTTAAAATAACGAGGAAATTTAACAAGGAATACTAAGTTAACACAAATAGTGTTAATTCTGGGTTAATCAGAAAATTTTACCCAGAAATTTTTTAGAATGTGTCATCGGTTACTTATTTCATGCATACCTCTAGTCTGACAATCTTCTTTATGGTGACAGGTCGCGCAGCTCTGAAGTGAACTTGAAGACCGTATTCTGATCTTGGTTCAATCACGCCATGGTCTGTGGCGACTGAAAAATCATCACCAAGATTTTCTAAACCGTTTAACCGCCATTGTACAGGAAGTAATGTACTGTTGCGAAGAAACACCGTCTTTGTGTCTTTCCTATTAAAACGAAAACAATATAAAAGTTTGAGGTATTACGTGTAAATAAAAAGCAAATTCCAGCAGTAAAGTTTCTGCAATTTACAACTCAAAAGTCAAAAAGTGATAACAAACTACCAGTTAGGCAAGTACTTTTGTACTCTTGTTTGAATAAGTGAAAAATTGTTGTCCACCCCGATCGGCTACGTATATAAATAATAAGAATGGCGGCAAAACTTGCACGTATATAAACTACGATCTGCCAAGTTTGTGCGTATTTTAATAAAAAATGTAAACAGGATATGCTACTGAAACCGTTTAAGTAGGTTTGTTCCCGTATAGAACTTGTCGAATAAAGAATGGATCTACTTTTCACTATTTTGGATTCTTTGCGTGGTTTTAAAGTCAATAAACAACCTTTTTAAAACATTGTATTTTTAGAACACAAACATTACAAAAGGACGTAAGACTTATTTAAAGTTAAACAATGTCAACATTCCAAAACATGGTTCTTCTAATTTTTCATTCGTTTACTCTATAGGGTTTTTGTCATGAAATACAATTGTTGTGTGAATGTTGTTGATTTTTCTTTCGTCGCTATATAACAAAAGACTTAATCGCTGTTCCCTCCAGAAATAATCCAGTCAACTATCGTCAACTTTCATGCAACTCCTGTTCTCGTTTGACCAGGCCACCAGAGTTGATGAAACTTTGCATAAGAAAATTCTCGCTTGCGGGGGTTTCCCCAACACATTTTCATACATTGGTTGCATTGTGTTTATTTAACCATATCTTTATATATCAAGTGTCAAAGTTTCTTCCTTCTAGGATCTCATTGGTTCAATGTTTATCACGTGAAAGTCACAAAATTCGACTGTTTAACATCAAAAAAGCACGTGTTCTTGACCAGCAAAAGTAACAACGGGAGCAAATAAATGCAATCTCATTTTTTGTCTTTTGATTTGGTACTATACATAATTGACCGCTGATGTTTCCCTCAGCTTCGCCTCGGGAAACGATCGGCAGTCTGCAGATCACAAAACATATTGTCTCCCACGGACTCAGTAAATAAGTGTTAATTACCTGTGTAAAAGTACACGATCAAATGGTAGCTGCTTCCTGTCCAGTTCCAATTCAGGTCTCACGCCGTGACAGCTGACCTTAAATAATATGGGCTCAGGATTTTCACGCACACAGCAAACCAATACGTCTTCAAAAAGTCCAGCAGTCTTAGGGTAGGCCCACATTGTAAGCGTCTAGATTGGAGGAAATAACTTTAGAAAGTAAAATTCTATTTATACAGAAAATAATCTTGAGCCTTGTTCCAAAGTTAGTCATGCCACCTTTGATTCTTTCCCATTCTCCCAAGCGTGTTTCTATAACTGTATAGAAGCACGGAAAATGTTTTCTCTTTCTTAAATGTACCCGGTGTCCAAAAAAGTATCGCTATTTGATTTTTTTATTTAATATAGAGGGTACCTGGAACAGCTATATTACGCTCAAATAAATCTAATCGTATCCAGATTAAGGGGCTAACTTAAATGTTGATGTATTACAACAAGATGTTCATGCGACATTAACTGAAATATCAATGTTTTAAATCGAACAGGCGTTAAAATAATTCCAATACAGTTGTCAATTCAAGTCTCATTATTATCTCGTGTTTAAATTGTTCTAAAATTCAGTTGGAGAGAGGTGTCGAAAGATTATGCGTGCATCTTAGCGTGTTAGTATTAATTCATGATGCCTAATTCATGATACATTTCACTGTCTAGTTGTTGACTGCGAAGTCTCCTGATTTTATTGTAATTTGGAACAAGGAGGGTTATGGATACTTAAAAAAATCATTAATAGTTCATCAGGAAAACACAAATGAAATTGAATGTTTAATCAATGTTTGTAAATCGGATAGAGATTTGTCCTGATTGCATAAACGTCAGCTTTGACTTTCTCGGCTTAGACAATGTTTATTTTTAAAATTACTTCGCCAATAAACTCATAAGATGGGTCGTTTTATCTGGATTTATCTTTAAGCTAAAGATTGGCTGCTCACGTTTTAACTAGTACTTATTTACATGGGTTAGAATCTCAGAGGCGATACCAAAACTTTGAATCCCAGTATCCCCGCCGGATAAGCCTGCGACAGGCTCTCTTCAGACACTGACCAAGTCCAAAACCAAGTCCAAAGATTGAAATAATCAACTGATTTTGAGTAAACGAGTTGTCATATCAAAGTTGAATCCGATTTTGGATTCTAGACCACCAGGTCTTCAATTCTCGGACATCCCAATCCCACTAAACCCGCGTGTTTCTCTTTTAAATATCACATGCAAAATGTTTTCTGAAAATTATTTTAGGATCACTTACCTCGCTAGCACCGCATGGCAAACTCATGCTTGGAGGATCCAGAAGGAACGTTGTTCCATTATTATCATGCTGAAAACAGAATGCTACTTCGGCTGCAAGTGGTGATGTGTTAGAGATAATTATATTCTCTATGTTCTCCGGATACTTTCCTTCTTTATATTTCTCGCGTGTTTTACCACACAGCAGTGGACCAAACTCATAAGTCTCGCTATTCAAGATGAATTTCTTATGCACAATCTCCTCGCGTTTCTTAATCTTCTTACGATTTGGAAAGACAATGCGCGGCTCACGACTGATAGATGGAAAAGCGCACACACCACGACAGAATATTTGGTAGCGACGTCTTGTACCGACTATTTCATAGTTCAACGTTTGATCAAATTGTCCGAGGTCTTCGGATTTGAATCTTATTCGAAGTAGACAAGAACCACTTGCAGGAATCACCCAGCGATGTGTGCTTAGGATTGCGTTCACGGCTGATGCTCCATCGCCGCTAAAATAAAATTAAATGAAAAATCTATATCAATTAACTTACGGACATCTGCATTTCTCTTTCAGGTCATTTATTAGGATTCAATCTTAAGATTCAGTGATTCAATCACAGCATTCAAGGATTCAATCTTAGGATTCAATGATTCAGTCTTAGCATTCAAGGGTTCAATCTTAGGATTCAATGATTCAGTCTTCAGATTCAATGATTCAATCTTAGGATTAAACGATTCAGTCTTCTGATTCAATATTCAAAGATTCAGTCTTAGGATTCAATGATTCAGTCTTAGGATTCAATGATTCAGTCTTAGGATTCAATGATTCAGTCTTAGGATTCAATGATTCAGTCTTAGGATTCAATGATTCAGTCTTAGGATTCAAAGATTCAATCTTAAAGGATTCAATTATTCGATCTTAGCATTCCATGATTTAGTCTTAGGATTCATAAATTCAATCTTAGGATTCAATGATTCAATCTACGATTCAATGATTTAATCTTAAGGTTGAACGAAATAATCTTAGAATTCACAGCTTCAATGTTAGGATTCATTGGCCGAAATAAAAAATAGAAAGTGAGATAAGCAAGATAGGGCTAGCGATAAGAATAGAAATATCAGTAACGGTGACTTCATTCAAACCTTAATCTTCCATCTTCATGTGCTTGTGGCGGTGGTGGTGAAGCAGTACTCAATGAACTTCTTCTCGCACCTTTACCACTGTTTGATAATCGATCACGTTTAGATTTAGCACCACTTTCTCGTTCTTCTTTCTCACGACTTAACTTCGTTGTACCACCTTTACTTCGACTGCTATGTTCCTAAATGTTGAAATTCACATAAGGCCCATTTACACGATACGATTAGTTGTATACGATTGTCATTCTGACGAATGAAAACGAGTGCTAATGCCACGTTATTGCTCATTCGCTAATGGCGAAATTTGAAATGTGACGTTTGTACGCGTGTTTATTCGATCACATACGCCAGAGTAAGAATCGTATACAACTAATCGTACCGTGTAAATGGGCCTTTCAACATCTTGGGCTTGCAAAGGCAATCTTATTACTTCCATCTATTTGGTTTAAGGTGGCTCGATATAGTTATCACAAATACCCTGCTCAAGAATCGCGAACTCAAAACCGGGTGACCATTTTTACGCGCAGGTCGCGGAAAGTGATTAACAAAATCAAAGAACTTCCAAAATGACCTGACGCGAGCAGTTGCTCGCGCCATATCACGCCATTGCGCATGTTCTATAGCGTTTTATGTCAATTGCTGACGTCATTACAATTTTCCATTTTCAGAAAAAACAATGCGTTATATCTCTTTATTTTGTCTGGTGACCTATGTTCAAATTTTGCATGCTGTATTGCACCGCTAAAAACTTTCAGTATACCAAAAATAAAAAAATTCTGCAATGCCAAAAAAACTTTACCGAAGAATATGACTTTTCCCCATTTTCCAAAAAAATGGCATTAGCTTTTCGTCCAAGTAAAATAATGCACGAAAACAAATTGGGGGTCACCATGCTTTTTTTCCAACTATACGAGACGATAGGCCATTTTGGAGTGAATTTCGTACACGTATGTCGTCATAGTAACGAACTATCTGCTACTAAAACTAATATAATTTGAAAGTAGAGATATCGAAATATATAAAAAAAAACAATATCTGCTGAATAAATCCTAAAAAGGCGTAGTTTGAACATGTCAAAGTGTTAAACACCTGAATTTTTGAAAACTGTATCGAGCCACCTTAAGGCCACGTTTACACTGTACCGGATAGCTTTGCGTAGCGACGTGAAAAACACACTTATGTATACCTTCTAGGAACGCTATTTTCAGAGGAATTATTGCAACGGAAAGATTTTGTTTCCCTCACCTTCTGAAAAAGTTGTACATTCCGTATCAGATAGGTGCTTTTACGCGCCGCTACGGAAATGTGTAGTGTAAATGTAGCCTAAAATAGCTGCACGCCATGTTTGTAAGTTTTGAAATAAGCAAATTCGAGTCTCAACTGCGCATGCAAATGATGCATTGTGGGTAGGGATAAATTGCAGTTGAATCATAAGCACTAAATATATCCATGTCAAAGTACTGAACTGCATGTTCAATTATTATTTGTGCTTCACTTATAGCCACAAGAGATATCATAAAAATAATTTTTAGACTAGCATATTTTGTCTGCTGTGTAAAGCAAAATAAAGAAAGGGATTATATTTTCCAATGGACCATTCCTCAATTAACGAAAATTTTGATCTCAACAAGTCTACACAAAATTCCATCATAGCATGAAAGAGCATCACAAAATTAGTATTTCGTTGCAAAATGTTGCAAATTGCGGATAATATAGCCTTGCGAAGTTTGTAATTTTCAGTCATTTTGTATTACGTACAGAAGTGGTAACCATTTCCCGTTTGTAATCTAAAATGACTGAAAATTGCAAACTTCGCAAGGCTATATTATCCGCATTTTAGAACATTTTGCAACGAAACTTTGGAATATTACTAATTTTGTGATGCCCTTTCAAGCTGTGATGAAATTTTGTCTAGACTTGTCGAGTTCAAAATTTTGATTAATTGGGGAATGGTCCATTTAAAGCGTGTTAACCGTGCAGAAACTAATTTGATTTTAAGAAACGTTTTGCACATTGAAAGTCTCAATTAATACTCTCTTGTGCATATTTAATTCTTCCAGTCCCAGCTACATGTTATACGTCATTTTGACTCTACTAAGCTTATTGTACAGGACTTCTTCTCTGCTTTGGTAAAAATTAACTCGTAGCTGGGTGGAGATTAAAAACACCGTCATACAGCAGGATAAAAATTTTCAAGTCTGATTAAAGATTGAGATACATTGCTGTCGTTTGAAGTGGGGCTTCTGTGCCACAGTCGTCAGAGCAAGGACTCGTGCGAAAGGAGTCAGTCAACGCTCTACCGAAAGTCGTGGGTTTTCTCCGGGTGCTCCGGTTTCCTGCCACAGGGAAAGTTGACAGGGTGGGTTAGGATAAAACACAGTTAGGAACGTAATATCTCAATTGTTGTAAAGATAAATAGGCTAAGTAAGTAACATGAGCGTAATACTCGACGTAATTGGTCACTGAAAAGCCCCAATGGGGAGTGAGGTGAATGATAATGTAAGTTCGAATTTTCGAACAATTCTGACTGACAGTAATTCGAAAGTGCGGCGTTATTGTGATTCAGCGCTGCGCGCCTGCACTTATTCGAGGGTGGCCATTAATTAAACTCTCATATGCAAAGCTTAATCGAGGGCGGCCATTAAACAAGTAAATACAGTAATCAAATTATCAAAAAATAACGTCAAAGAAAAACAAGATTTTCTTACCTTTTCTGAGCGCGAATCAGTCTTATCAATTTCAGGCTCAGTTTTTTTCACCTTCTCTTCAACAGCGACGTTGGGATCTCCGGGACCCGACGAGACGAACAGATAATGAAGAGAAGTATCAGAAGCGAAGGGTGAATGTCGCCGTATTGGGTAAGGGATTACTGAAAAGGTTACTGGTGGAGGTATGGGAGGACCGTTAGGACCAAGGCCCAGGCCATCTAAGATCTAAAACATAAAAGTTATATAAAATAAGATACAAATCACGTCTCCTTACGGTTCTAAACAGCTAGGAGTTAGGGTAGCTATCCCATAACCCGGTGGGTGGGGTTGGTGGAGTAGGGATGGATGGGCAGTGAAGATGGTGGAAGCATGGTTTTCTTGTGTTGTATATCTTCGTTCTTTCTTACTTTGTTGGGCTTCCGGAAAAATATTTCCACATCACTAATTTCACATAAACAACATTTCTGCACTAAAACTTTTGATGACATGTTCAGTTTCAAATCTCATTTCAATATTGAGTTTTGGGCGCCGTTCAATGGCCCTAAAAAAGCCCTCGAAACCCTGAAATACACAATAATTAGCATATTGTTTTAGAACCGGTCAGCACCTTAACCGAAAACTTTCCAATCAACATAGAAACCGAGTTTCTGATCTGACCAGTCTATCTCGGTAAAATGGAAAGCACCGTATAATGTCAAAATTGTGATTACAATTTAGATTAACTGGTTGTCAAAAAAATATTCGATTATCCACACAGATTTCCATATATCAACTAAAAGCTAAAATTAATTCAATTATGCCAAATAGTACCTCCTCTGGTGTGGGTAAAGTTGTCATAGAAAACAATTTCCCTTTCTGTGATTCTCCCGGTGTCATGGTCTCAAAGATAACGTGTGGTATACCAATACCATCTTTGTTGACTGTCTTGACTTCATCTTTGATAGGAAATACACAACTGTCTCGTGGAGATGACATAGTCTACACAAACACAACATTCGATTATCTCCATGAGATCGGTGGTGAACACTGAAAATTTTGGGTACGAGTGCCAAATTTCAGAGATGCCGTGCCGAGAACATTTGTCGTGTAAACATAGACAATGGAGAGGAATGGACTCCAAGAACCATGCAAAGCTGTCGTTTAGAGATATATCTATATTATCCCGATATGTTGTTGACGAAGCACCCAGTCCAAACTAACCTCATAACTCGCGATTTGTTCTATTAAAGGGCACTGGCAGTCAAAATTTAGTTTGCAACATTCGAAATAACTTTTGGCTTTTTCATGTCTTCCTTGATTTTTGAAATTTTTGGACTAAAAGTAGCGAACTGCCCGCCATCTTGGATTACGCAATTTTTTTTTATCTGGGCAGCCAGTTATCATCAATAGGACCCTACTTCAAATTTCGAATTAAATAAAACATTTTAAACAATTTTGGATCATTACTAAGTCACTTAGGAGTAATTTTATAAGGCGAACCCAACTCCTTATATCACAAAGACCATAGTTAGTAAGATTAAGAATTAATCCAAGGTTATGAGCCGTGAAAAGTATGCAAATGACGTAGGAGTTTGAACAAATATGGCGTACAAGAATGCTCAAGTGAATACAATTTAGAGTCGTCTTCGTCTTGGAGTAAAAATTATGTTGTTGATGAGCACGTTGACGTTGGTATAATAGGCCATTTGCAGCTGGCCTAAAAACACTGTGCATGACAATAACTATAGAGGGTGAGAAAAATACTGTGCTTTATCTTACTCCTTTGTCTACAAAGCCCACAGCTCCCCTTGCTCTGCAGTCACTTATTGTTCTACATTCAACTATTTTTAGTTAACTGCAAAGAGCCTATTGCATCCATGGTACTGCCCGCAAAGTTTTCAGTCAGTAATGCGCGAAACAATGATGTTTCCAGTCCATTCCTCTCGATTGTCTGTGGTATAAAAAGCCATAACCAACCTCCTTTAACGCTTTTTCTTTTTCCTTTTCTCTTTCCTTCTCGCCTTTCTTGTCTCGCATCTTCTTATTTGATCCAGTTTGTGTTATTTCTGGTTCGGTTTCAGACTTGGGAGTTTCAACTCGGACTACATTTCCAGTGGATCTATCCCAATTCTCCAGCAAGGAAGATACGTCGCGGAGAGAAGTCTCGAACTTTTGAAATCTAAAGAGAAGAAAAGCTGGTGCAAGTCTATTCTCGCTTTGTTATATTTGTTTTTTGAAATTCGTATTGAACTATCTTGTAATTTAAAAATCTATTTGTCAATAACAATATATTTTGTACGCCGTTTGAAACCATGGTTGTTATAAGACCTGGTTAGGAAACCCGGCAAACCTCAAAGAAATTACGCTATAAACAAACATGGAGGTTGAACAGTCAGTTTGATCCTGCACATGTTGGTTTTAATCAATGAGAATTGACCAAACGATGTAACACAAACATTCTCCATCGAAAAACGGTGGTAATACTTCGTTATTTGCAAAATATGCCGTAAGATATAGCCCTGGTAGGAAAAACAAATACTTGGTACCCATTCCCTTTGCCAAGCTTTCTGAACTGACTATTGTCAAACAATAGAAAGACAAAGGATTTTTCTACCGTGACCATGCAAAAGGTACACAATCACCTAAAACAAAGGGTTTCCAAACCATGTCATATATATTAACTATGTTGAAACACTGTCGTTCTTGTAGGCTATATATCACTCGAGCGTCGCTTCTAATACGAATTCGCCGTCTGCAACGGGCATATGATACAAACCATACACTATACAAAACACAATTGTATAACAACAATATGTCCTTACTTTTTAATTAATTCTCTTTCTTTATCGTCTTCTTCAGAAAGTTTATCATCAACGGCAATCATGGGAGGTACCTGAGCGGCAAGAGCTGAAGCTTGCCGTTGTTTCGACATCTTTATTACACTTGGCCTTTTACGTTCTTCAGCTGCAAACACATACAACATATTAGTCTATTATTTCTTGTGAAACTCATTAATAATTTATGACGAAAACATCAAAGAAATCATGGCCGAGTTGGTTAGTCAATTTACACCAGTTTGGTGTACGAATGGAGGCAAGCAATTTACACCAACTTTGGGTAAAAAAACACTTCTTGGTGTATAAAAACAATTTTCCCGGTGCTATTTACACCAAATTAAGGTAAAATTAACACCATTTTAAGTGTTTTTTACACCTTTTTAGTGTACGGATGGAGGCAAAGATTTACACCAATTTTGGTGTTGGGTGAACACTCAGAAATTTAGAAGTTCAATTTTAGGTTCAATTTTCTCAACACGACAACTCATCTTGTAAAAAGTACATAAAATATAGTACACTGACATTCGGAAACCCAGCAGACTATGTCACTAACTATTACAAGGTAACCACAATCCTGCGTGGATACCTCACACCTAACATACGCCAAGTATAGACAAGATATGCAGAAATGGGCGTGCGAGGTTGTAAGTGGTTGTACGCTAAAGTCCCGTTTACACTTGCAACCTTTGCTGCGATTTCAAGTGCGATTTCCTTCTTCTGATGGATGTGAACGAGTAGATGAGTTACGAATGTACGGAGTATATGTACCCTCATCTAAACATTTGTAACTTATCCACTCGTTCACATATATCAGGAGAAGGGAATCGCAGCAAAAAGTGCAATTGTAAACGGGCCTTAATAATACACCGGTTAATATTTTCCTGGTCGACCTAGAAGTAACACTATTTGGGTTAACTTAATATTTATGGTTAACTTCCTCGTTATTTTAAATTTTCTCCATTTCACAATTTGTCTTTGACAAGGAGCTTTGTTCAAAGCTGGTCATGCTGGCATTTTAACAAGGAAATTTCAACGAGTTTGGTTGTCGTTGCCGTCCTACATGGTTAAGGTTGCTATTAAGCCCTCTCTCGGATAACCCTCTTCCAAGGGTTGCATTTTAAAATTTTTAGTCGCCCAATCGCTACCAGTGAATGAGGTATGGTGGCCAAATTTAATATCAGGTCGCCCTACGTCAGTGTGTGTGAAGTATTCTCTTTGTATTACGGTATAAATAACAATAAAAAACAGCTGCTTAATATGTTAAAAAATTATATGCAAAAGCAGAATGAAATACTCGAGATACTGCGATATTTTGAGGCTTTACAATTACTTTATCATTTCAAGTTTTTTCTCAGTAGCCAAGAAAGTTACAAATGTCTGGGTCTCATTTGGCGACTCGGCGCCCGGTCATTTTGATTCCCTGCCCTCCTCCCTCAGAAACATCCTTAAAAAATTATTAAACTAATATACGGTAATCAATACCTGGTATATCACTATCAGATCTCTCCGAAATAACAGATGGCGCAGTAGCACCTCGTACACCAGAGTGTTCGTGAAATTGAGCGACACTGCGAGTACCAGACATCTTCTCCGAAGTCTTCTCTCTTTTCTTCTCACCGTCTTTAGATTCAGGTGCACCTTTACGCATTTGCGATGATTGCTGAACTGTTTTCCTACGGCCTTTCTTGTCCCTGAGAGACAATATATATTATGAGTCGCTACACAATGGTCAGTAGAAGAAGACTCTTCACACTCTCCAGATTTGATCCAAGTTTCGCTATTTCTTTGATCCATTATACAGGGTGTATCAAAAAAGTACACAGTTCTAAAATGTCCAATAAATTGAGCATCCCGCAACAATTGTGGCAATATTATGTTAGTATTGGTAGTGGGGTCTTCTGATATGTCTATCACCAAAGTATTCTGAAAAGAATTTCGAGTTCAGCAGGGCTGGTTTTAAAAATGGTTTGCACACAAAAATGGTATGCTTGAAACGCAATTCACAGGGTGCAAATTTGAAAGGTGTTTTATGAACCATCAAAGTACCAGACAATTTTATGTATATTAAGTCCAGAACGCGCGGCCTCTACAACTTGGACTTCTTGTGATACTAGTCTTTAACGCATAATTTTAAAACTTTTTGTAAACAGAATGTAAGAAATGCGTGTGGTAAATGGTGAAAGACTAGCTATGGTAAAATATCCAAGTTTTATAGGTCCGCACGTTGGTAATTTGAAATACCTTCCAAATTTGCGTTTTAAATCTCCCATTTTTGTGCGCCAGCCATTTTAAAAGCGGTTTTGGAAACAGCCCTGCTGCACTCGACAATGTACTTTTCACAATAATTTGGTGATAGAGATACCAGAAGACCCTAAGCTACCCATACTAACATAAAGTTGCCACAAATTTTCCGAATTTTCAGTTTAGTGGAAATTTTAGAACTGTCTAGTTTTTTGTTTTTTTTAAACATCTCGTAGTGAGAATTACAAAGTCAAAAAAGCAATCCCAAAAAGAAATTTCTGCAGGCCTGAAATGAAGACTTGCGTTTATTCTTACCGTTCCTCCTCCAATCGTTTCTCTTCTAACAATGCAAGCTGTTCCCTCTCTTTCCTTTCTCTCTCTAACTTCTCTTCCACCTCTCTTTTCATCTTTTCTTTCTTTTGATTCAATCGTTTTCTATCCACGTCACTTTTTTCTTGTTCACTCAAAGCATCGTATTCATCTTCAGACATTTCTTCCAACCATTTCTTTTCCGCCTCTTCTTTCTCGCGTTCCTTTTGCACTGCAAGGAAGAAAAACTAACTTGAGTCACACCCACATGACATTAGTGAAACGAAGACGTGACAATCAACAATATATTTTTACTCGAAGACAAAGGCGACCATTATGGCAAGTGCAATATGGCCAACCTTTTATCCACATGGCGCCATCTTGACCCTTTTACGAGTTACAGCAACAATCGCAATTGCTCAACTGTTATTGACATTAAAACATATTTTAAATCTTTCATAAATCATTATACACTGGAAAGGCTATACATTTTGTTTTATTTTTTGCTAAAGTTTTTAACTTAATAATTAATGATACCAATGAAAGATTTAAACTTCCAGGAAACAAAAACATAACATTTTAATTTTAATTTTAGTTTTAAGCCTCCATCTTGGAATTTTTGTCCGAAAACGTCTTTTTAGCATTGAAAACGTTTTCGTCACATCACAAGACGTCGTTTTCATCCCTTTTCGTGTGGAGACGGCTTGAAAACGACACTTTTTGAAAACGTTACAGCTGAAAACGCTCGAAAACGTTACCGCATGCAGCTAGTCTTAGGCCCCAGTTACACGATACCGGATTCACATCGGAGCGAGTCGAGCGAAATCAACTAAGACGCTTTTCGGCTTCTTACAACTTTTCATATTCGACGTTTTTTTACTAATTCTGTTATATCATCATAATTTTTAGTGCTAAACTCCCCATGAAACTGTATATTTGATGCCGCTCCGGTGCGAATCCGGTATCGTGTAACTGGAGCCTTAATAAAAACATTAATGTCCTTACGCATTTCCTCCTTCTTTCTCTCATCCATTGCCTTCAGTTTTGCATGCTCCAGAGTTAAGGTAGCGAAGAAGATATATTTTCTGTTATTTAAGGCACGTAAGATACAACACGCAGTGCTTTGCATGTTTCTCGTAAACATACTGTCCAAGCCATCAATAACAATTCCAAGATGACAATCACTGCCCTAAAAGAACAAAATGCATTGGCTGATCGCATGGAGAATTTTCAGTCCAGCTGAACTACGGACCTGAAATTGTAGCACTAGGTTAGGGTTAGAGAAGGGGCTGGGATTGGGGTGGGGTGGGGATCAAAGAGAAATATATTTGAGCGCGAAACATGAGGTTAAAATGTTTTAAGTGTTAGAAAAATGAGACGACCCTAAAACACCCATTTCAGGACCATCCTTCGAGATACGAAAAACTAGTTTCATATTGTTCTTAGAATGGTTCTACAAAAGAATTGAAACATTGCGGGTCCTCCACGACAAGCGTTAAGACTCGCTACCAATCCCCATTGATTCGATAGCGGCGGGCTAGACTATAGAAAACACTTCAAAAACTCAGTTGGCTACCAAATTCGAGAAAAAAATTCTACTTTCAAAGCATTGACTAGATATATATTCGCCGGATTATCTTACCGAAATGTTTAATCTTTGCTCAAATGAAACTTACAATTTAAGAAGTGATTTCCGTCAATATTCCTTAGCAAAACCAACTAAAATTTTCTTTAAAATAAATTTCCCTATAGAGCGGCAAAATCATGGAACAAACTATCTACTGACTTAACACAAAAGGTCGAAATTACCGCAGTTAATGCAATAAAACAATGCTCATCAGTCACTATAGGAACGATTAAGCTGTCGAGTTTAGTATACCCCTTAATTGTAGTGTTAATAGTATAATACTATATTATAAATAAGCACTTAATTATACGGGAAGCAGTCAAGCGTATTTGTATGTATTCCCAATATGTCTACATGTTCATCTCTCGACGAGTGCCGGAAACGCTGTTCTAAGACTTCTAAGTGTATTAAGTATATTTATTTCCCCCATATATTGATGCCCAATCCGTTAATATAGCAGCCTGTCAATGTGAGTTGATCGTAGAATATATGTTCATCAAGAAGTTACAATCCTAGTCAAAACCATCAGCGACACTCTGTTAAAACATTCCTCTGTGACACGTTTTATTTTCATACCGGAATAATTTACTCCTCCCGTCCGCCGCTCCCCAACGAAAAATGTTGTACTATTACAATCGAAACGATGAGAAAGTCGAACCTGCCGTTTGCCGTTCCCGGAAACGTGAAGTTTAAACTCCCTAATAGTTCGATGTGTTGCATGAATGAGGATTATAAGTTCGAAGTGCAATAGCTCTATAGCATTTCAGATTGATAAGTCTTCACACATTAGGAAGACGTTTTTTAATAGTTTTTGATGACCATTGACTTGCGATACAAAATCACAGGTTTATTTAAATATTTAAGTTTCACTTTATTGGTCACAAATCTACAAAATATTTCGTCAAAAGCAGACCACTTTTTGCTAGTATAAAGCCCTGCACAGACGGTCAATTTTCTCTGCATAGAAATGTTTTCCATGGCGAGTTTTAGTATTTGCTCGAGTGTAAGGCAAAAAATTGACAACTTTTCCCTGCCAAGGAGCTTCGTTCCAAAGCTGGACATGCCAGCTTTTGGACAAGGAAAATTTGTTCGTGAGTACGGCCAGCAAGGAAAACTTGACCAGTGTACAAGAAATAATTCTACGGCGGTTTTGGCAAACAAATTTAGACGGCCTTGACGTGAGATAAATGCTTAACAACATTTCGTACACAGGAGCAACAAAATTTGTCTAGTGAAAACTTGTCAGGGTTCGTAGTCTCCAAGACCAAAAAAATTCAAAGACTTTCAAAGACTTTTTCTGCCTATTTTCAAACACTTTTCAAAGACCTCGCGCTGTTGCGATTTAATTCTAATTTCGTCACTCTCGCGTGATATGCTCTCAACCAATAAAACACTAGAAAAATGCGACTTTGACTATTGATATATAATAATACGATTTATATAACACCTCATTTAATTCTGGTCACTTATTTGGCTGATTACGATCACGTGATATGGAATTAAAATTCTCATTTTGCTGCCATGTATAATAGTACATATACTAAGATAAAGAGCAGAGCCCAGCAAAGAACTTTAAAGCCAAACATAACAAAAGTAAAAATTTATTAGCTAACGTTTCGTTGTTTTCAATTGCCACATATACTAAGGTTTAATTAAATTCAATCATTCACAATCCTATTCGTATCGTAATCGTAGCCTTTATTAACTATACTTTTTATACTGAAACGGATGGAATTAAATTCAAATACATAACTCGTGCGAAGAAAAATGGGCGTGTAAAAATACAATATTTTTACGATAATTGACCGCCATTATCATATTAATTCTTCACTAAAACATTTGTTGGCACGTTTCTGAACAATGTATGTATTTGTTTTGTATTTAATTCACTTTAAAATTCTATAAAATTGATCTATTTTCAGTATAATTTTGGTGTTATATAAAACAAATAATGAATTTTTCCATTCGTTCAAATATATTCTAATTCGGTGAAACGTGCAATGGAAAATTCCATGTTTCAAACGTTGCGCGCGATCTATAGCCACGCGTCGCACGCGAAAAACTAGCGAAACGCGAGAGAGCTGAATTAATCAGCCAATCACAGACAAGGTTGACATCTGCACACACAAGGACATGTCTTCTTCTTCAGGAAATGGAAAATATGGCGCTTGTGAAAATACTGTTGCTTGTTTCCCTCCTGGCTAAAGGTAATGGTGAATGTTTGTCGGACAATGACTGCGTTGACTTACTGATGTGTTGTGAAAATAGCTTCTGTTGTGGAAACGTATGTATGGCAAGCTGCCAAAGACACATTTGTATCTTAACTTCTGATTGCCGTAATCCCAATGAATTTTGTTGTGACGATAATAGATGTCATCTCGAAAGGTGTCCAACAATTTCGAGTTCTGGGTACATCCTTTTATTTGTTATCAGTTCTGTGTGCGGTATGGTAATAACTGTTTACTTCCTGTTACGTTTCTGCTGTTTAAGTCCTGATGAATCTGCTCAGGAAACTTTCATTATTTCAAAAACGTACCGGGGATCTAGCTCAAATGTTGGTTATTACGATTCGCCTGTTTATCCTGAACCAAGTGCTCCACCAGCTCCACCATATAGTCCTACATCTCCTAACCTAATGGATACGGCTCCGGGAGCGGCCGTGTATTCTGCCACAAATGTTAACCAGGGTTCTACTGTTTATCCTGAACCACCACCTCCGTATAACTACTAACAAACGACAGATACGCTAAATTACTTTTGGTTATACGTGTTTGACTTCGCGCAATATACAGAGAAATCTCATCAATTAACCTATACTTAGATGTATATAACTGTATTTTTGTAAGAACCAATTTCAGTTGTGCTAGTATTAGGATTAATATTTTACAACATGCATACAATATATAAACAAAGTAAGGTAAAATTTTCAATTCTGTAGCGAAGGTATATATACTGAGAAACATGATAAATTAACCTGTAAGATGTAACTGTATTTTTGTAACAACAAATTGCAGTTGTGCTATAGTATTAAGATTAATATCTTATAACACATACAATATAAACAGAGTCAGAGGTACAATTTTCGATTCTGTAGCGAAGGTCTCCCAGGGGGGTCTGTGCTTCTGTGTTGTCTTGGAAATTTTTCCTTTGTTCCCGTAATTGTTCCTTACTATAGCTATTTTTGGCTTTGTCCCCGTGTTTCCATTGCAAAATATGCCTTGTTCACTTGTTCCCTGGAAAATCTTGTGAGACTCCTTGTAGTATGGCCTATTGCATGTTAGTATATTGTATCTTTTATGTTTATACATACATACATACATACTGTACATACTGTACATACATTATTCAGCTCACACCCCATCGGGTCTTTTCAGTGACCGATTACATCAAATACTACGCTTAAGCCTGGCGCACACGATGCGATTTTAGTCGGCCGATAAAAATCGTTTGACTAAAACTAACAAAATCGTTGTGTGTGCGGCACGTGTCATTTTTAAACGATTTTTGTTGCTCGATTTTAATCGGACAACATCAAAACGTTTTGATATTATACGATTTTTATTGGTGGAATTTTAAGTATAACCAATCGGATTTCATGCTGTGATCACGCGCTTGTATTTATTTGGCAACATGGCGGCTACAGTTCAGGGAGCATATTTTTTTCGTAATCGTGTGCGGAGTATACCGATGTATATCGGTATGTCAAACCGTTTTTATCGGCCGACTAAAATCGCATCGTGTGCGCCAGGCTTTACTTAGATTACTTCTTGGCCTTGACTACACGGCAAAAACCGCCGAGCCCATTGCTCAACAGGATTGAACAATGTTATGCTGCCAACGTTGTTCACACTTGTCAACAATATTGAACAATATTGTTGAGCCTGAATCGGGTGTAACAATATTGTTCAATATTGTTGACAACTGTGAACAATGTGGGCAGCAAAACATTAGGGCCATTTATACGGGACAAAATAAGACGCGTCTTATATAAGCTGAGTTATCGCATAAATGGTTCTCAACGGATTTATTCTTATTTACTTGCTATAGCTATAATGTTGTTTCGGTTGTTTTTGTTCGAATATGCAAGGCTAATAATTTTACGTTGTTTCAAGTTTCGGGCATGTGTAGTTAGAATTTTTGTCTAAAATTTCTTATTTAAGATGCGACTTAAATAAGAACAGCTAAAAGACCTGTTCTTATGTAAGACGCGTCTTATCCAAGACGCGTCTTACATAAGAATTTTGTACCTTTTATACCACAAACTCGCGTCTTATTTAAGTCGCGTCTTATGTAAGTCGCGTCTTATTTTGTCCCGTATAAATGGCCCTAATGTTCAATCCTGTTTTCATCAGTATTGCGACAACCTGAGCGTTTTTACGCGTGTATTTATCTTAACATTAACAAAGGACTATTCCCCAATTAACCAAAATTTTGAGCTCAACAAGTCTAGACAAAAATTTCATCACAGCTTGAAAGAGCATCACAAAATTAGTAATATTCCAAAGTTTCGTTGCAAAATGTTGTAAAATGCGGATAATATAGCCATGCGAAGTTTGCAATTTTCAGTCATTTTAGATTAAAAACGGGAAAAATGGTTACCACTTCTGTGCGTAATACAAAATGACTGAAAATTACAAACTTCGCAAGGTTATATTATCCGCATTTTACAACATTTTGCAACGACACTTTGGAATATTACTAATTTTGCGATGCTCTTTCAAGCTGTGATGAAATTTTTGTTTAGGCTAGTTAAGATCAAAATTTTGGAAAAGTGGTAACCATTTCCTGTTTGTATAGTATTGATTTAGTGATGCAATCGCAAATTGCATAGTATGAATTTCACTATTTTTCTCCAGTGCGTGCGTGAGGATCTCGAGCTAGTAGATACAATTATTAAGATTCAAAAAGAGCATTTGGATAATATTTTTTCAGTGTAATCTAAAATGACTGAAAATTGTAAATTTCACAAGGCTATATTATCCGCATTTTACAACATTTTGCAACGAAACTTTGGAATATAACTAATTTTGTGATGCTCTTTCATGCTATGATGGAATTTTGTCTAGACTTGTTGAGATCAAAATTTTGGTTAATTGGGGAATGGTCCATTGTGATATTCCTTTCCTTTGCGAGGAAACCGGAGTGCGCGGGGAAAACACAAGACTTTCGGCAGAACTCTTTTCACACGAGTCCGTAGCGAGAATCACACCATAATCTCAGAACCACCGAAGCCCTCAGCATATAGCCGTTCTTTAGACAGCCATATAGCAATGAATACCAACTTATGTGTTTCGCCTACATTTACTGCTCAGTTCGTTTCTTTTAATGTTGCGGTCCCTTGCTTCCGATTTTTCCCGCTATACATGGGTTGTTGCATCATTTTGTCTTATTAGAATAACGAGAAGCACGGCATAAAATTTTCCATTTGATTGAACAACTTAAGTTAAACTTCCAAATACGTTCAGTTAATTCTGTCGAATTTCGTTTCTGTAAATGACGCTTGATGGTTTGCGAGTCTCGATTTTCAAACTTTTCCTCCGAGGTTTTAGCTAGCAATTGAAGATTTATCCGTTGGGTATCTTCCATATTTGCATATCTTCAAGTCACTATTCCTTGCATGTTACCGTAAAGCCGATGTCACAGCGGATAATGCCCCCTCCCCCTCCCCCCGTGTTCCCCTGGTATGTTCGCTAGCGAATAGTATCCCTTTTAATTACATTTCCACGGATATTGCCCCCCAATCACTATATGTGAACGAAAAATGCGCAGATTTATAAGGATTTTTTTTAAATCTTTATGTCAAATTCTGAATTTTGAAGGATAACGCACCGTGTTGCTGTACTAACATGAGTATACGCAGTGCTATACAGTAAACACTACAGGCGGCGACTCTGTCTGTGGTTAAATTAACATAGCCAGCTAAAAGGCATGCACCTTTTGTTAAGTCATCAGGTATAAACTATCTGGCCTTCGGCCTTCCTATATATTTATGAGTTATGGATCACCTACAATCACACAGGCGAGGAGGAGAATCGTAGGATTAATGCAATAATGAAATGGATCGAATAAATAAAAAGGTCTCATTTGTAAACAGATTTGGTTTGAATACATGCATTTCAAGTTTGCATTCAGGTTAAAATAAAAGACCTAATTTTACAAAAAAACTAAATAGCGTTCACTATTCAGGCTGCGAGGTCATGTCCGTGTCCACTTTCGTAAAACGTCTCATTCTGTGAACGTAATCGTGTAGCTTTCGAAGGGGACAGAATACGCGGGGGAGGGGGGAGCATCGTAGACCCGCGACGCGGATAGTGCCCGGGGGGCAATATCAGTCTTGAGTCATTATACAGGGTGTATAAAAAAAAAACTGAACAGATTTGAAATTGCTCTCAATTTCGCAAAACACCTATTTGTATCCAGTTTTTTATATGTATATAGCTTCTTTGGGTCTCTACTTATAATGTAGAATAATGAAAAAAATTTCTCGAACTCAAATTTTGTGAACCAGGGGGGTGTGTCTTTTCTAACAAACTAAAAATGGCTCGCGCACAAAATTTAAAAGCTGTAATCATATTTTGAGTTAATAGATGGACAATTTGTCGGGTTTTTAATTACTGTACAAAATTTCAGACAATTTGGTTTAGTTTAAACCCTTTAACTATTCATTTTTCTCTAAAAAAAATAGCCTTTCGCATGCTTAATTAATGCCTTTACTTAATTTGCATATTGCTGACATATGCAAATTAGGCAAAGCATTAATTAAGCATGCAAATAGATGATTTTTAGGAAAAATGTAACTTTGCGTGAATAGTTAAGGGGCTTAAACTAAACCAAACTGTCTGAAATTTTGTACAGTAATTAAAAACCCGACAAATTTTCCATCTGTTAACTCAAAATATGATTGCAGCTTTTAAAATTTGTGCGCGAGCCATTTTTAGTTTGTTGGAAAAGACACACCCCCCTGGTTCACAAAATTTGAGTGCGAGAAATTTTTTTCATTATTCTACATTATAAGTACCCAACGAAGCTATATATATAAAAAACCGGATACAAATAGGTGTTTTGCGAAATTGAGAGCAATTTCAAATCTGTTCAGTTTTTTTTTATACACCCTGTATATTAGGAGAAAAACTCCTGTAGAATTCGTTAACAAAATAAGATCTGAACTTTCAAATCAGCCACTTGAGGACATTTTAATTAAACTTGAATCACTTAAATGTTGATACTGGTCATAATCATAATTTAAGGACAAAACGCCATCCTTGAATTTACGGTAACGCTGAACGTTGTAAAATTTATCATCATTCATCATTTGCTGCTATCTCCTCAAGGGAGGTCAGGCCTCCTTCTCGTAACATTACGATGTCTTCTATATCCAAAACTAAGTCTTTATTTCGACGCAGATTTTCTTTAACACATCTATCCATCGTTTCCGAGGTGACGCGGTCTACCACGTGATCATTTACCATCTTCCATTCTTTCCATTGCCCAGGAGCGGATCCATAGCCTCATCTGCAAGGAGGGGTGCAGGTCTTCCATGGGGTGGTGCATGAGGGAGCCTTGTTGCCCACTATCCTCTGCACTCTGCAACACTACTATCCCAACAATACCATTAAAGGTCCATTATTTGAGATGACCGAATCTACTTCTTCGCCGTTGTCTTCTTATGTCGGCTTTTTATCACGTATGCGTAACTGTACAGTTCCGGTAGCACAGCACAGTAAATTTGCTTGATAAAGTACAATATATTTGAAAATATGGCTGTATAACAACCTCGTCATGTTTAAACCCCTGCGTCATGTCAACTTAACAGGTTACCTGTTTGTTATATGCTGCGTTATAAAGACGCAGTTATGACATTCAAGTAAGTGTTTAAAACGGTCTAGCTCGGCCATACCTCTCAAGAAGATTCTCATTTCGATCAGACTTCAGAGACACATGATCTTGACACAAGACGGAAAGGTTAACTAGATGCCCAACTCTATAGGATAGCTGTGGTGCAGCGTTCGTTCTTATACAGGGGGACAAAACTATGGAAAAATCTACCGAAAGACATAAAAGACATTTCTAGTCTGCAAATTTTAAAAATTCAGTAAGAAAGCTTTTATGTAAGGGAGTGGACTATTTAATACCTCCTAACATTTTTTTTAGGAATTAAGCACCTCAATTAAATAATTTAAATAGTTTTAGATAATCTTAAATAATTTTAAATCTGTAAATATAACATAGTTAAAGTTTTAGAACATATATTTAATTAGTCATTATCATTTTACTTGTAATTGTTTCTGAAAAACCATTTTTGGAGAAACAAACATTTATAATAATAATAATAATAATAATGAAAACTTTATTAAATGGATATTTAGCTTATATATACAATTGCAAATCTCACTTATATCAGGTAATTTACAACTGGCTACTTAAATCACTGATTATATATGCAAAAATTATACTATTAAGATAACAAAATGACAATACAACGTTTAAACACTTAACAGTTTCGGATTCATCCATTCCTTGTTTCGACAACAAAATATATAATACGTTGTTCGGATTGCAATCGTCGTCATTCTTCTAATACAGTAATTCTGATGTTGCTTTTGAAAACCAAAATCATTAAGCATTTCTATGAAAGTAGAACATTCTTTACTGAAAACACCAAGAGAACTAATCGAAAGATTTACAAATTTTACTGAGTTGAAATGTTCATTTTGTTCCCTAATTAATTCTTTATATTTTGATTTTTTACGCTCAACGTTTTTTTTTGAAGATTTGATTCGAAGCCAACTAAAATAATAATAATAATAATAATAATGGAAACTTTAATAATTTTGTTATATATTATATATATATATACAATTGTAAATCTCACTAATTTAAGGTAACTTACAATTGGCTATTTGAATCACAACTATATGACAGAATACATGAAAATATATAAATATACAAGACAATCAGATATTTCAAATAGTTAACAAGTCCGGACTTTCCCATTCCTTATTTCGGCAGCAAAAAATATAGTATGTACTTCGAATGGCAATAGTCATCATTTTCCTAACACAGTACGTTTGGTAGTTTTTGTCCAGACCAACATTTCCTAACATTTCTAAGAATGTAGAGCATTCTAGCGCAAAAATACCTAGGGAGCTCATAGAAAGATTTATAAAGTTTACTTCGTTAAAGTTTTCGTCTAGTTGTTTTACTAGTTCTTTATATTTGGCTTTTTTCCGATTAACGTTGTTCTCGAGGTTTGTCTCATAGCCAACAGTGAGCTCGACCACATAAAGAGAGCCATTTGATAACGATAGCAACAAATGCGGGCGATACGTATCACCAGTTATTATTGAAGGACTTTTGAGTCCGGGCACATCAGCGTAGAGGGCAGAACCGTTCACAGTTTGCAAGGTATTGGCAAGGAAGTTCAGGATTGAATTGTGTCTCCACGTAAATCGATCGAGATAACACTGACATCCAGCGACCACATGCAATAATGATTCTGGGCCAAGACAAAAGGAGCATTCTGAACTTGAAGACAATCCCCATCTGCTAAGGTTCTTGCGTGTCGGAAGAGAGTTATTGATATAGCGTATGGTAAAGTTATAAATGTTTTTCGGAAGTTTTGATTGAGCAGTAGACCACACTTTGTTAAGATGCGACAAGGAGAACTTTGTTACACTAGAGAAAAAGGATCCCTGACAAGTTAATTGATTTTGGAGTTTATCTTCATGTTCAGACCGAAAGTTTTTAAGCACTTCTTTGGTTGAGTTATAAAAGTCGTATTGGATATTAGTATGAGTATTAGTAGATTTCCACAGTTCGTTGATTGATTGATTTGGAGAAAGTTTTAAAGCTTTTCGAAGAACTGTTTGGCATTGGATAAATTTCACCGATGGAGGATATATACTTTGACCAAATTTGTTGCGAGTTAGAAAAACAGTACTTAGTGTTCCTGAGATTGGAATTTCAAGCCATTTACGGATGTACTGGTTGACTACGGGATCAATATTTTCAATAACCCATGTTTTAGAAAGTGTTGCGATGGTGAAATGCCACGATATTTTGGATAAGACATAACGACTGTATACGAGAAGCTTATTTGTTGGGTGGAGTGGCTTCGAGTCAATATCAGTCATTAGTTCGTTAACGAGAGTGGTTAGTTCAGTCTTATGGTTATCGTTCGACATGTTAAAATCAAAGTAACGTCCTAAATATTGAAATGCTTCTCCAATCTTTACTGTTGGTATCAGATTATTGCTGATGATGAGTTTCCGCAAATATTGGACTGATTTTGTGATGGCTTTCTTGATGCCAAAGGTACTACATTTATCGACTCTGATAATCATATTGGACCATTGGCACCAGATGGAAAAACGATTTAGGAGATGCTGGTTTTCAGATTCTTGGCCAGTGATTACGGCTGCGTCATCAGCGAATTGGAACCAGTGGATAGGATTTAATAGCTTGAAGGAGAAGCCAAACTGACGGTACTTTTCAGCTTTGATATGTTGGATAAAAGTATTGAAGCACATATTGAAAAGAAGAGGACTGAGGCAATCTCCTTGCAATACGCCACGGCCAACAGATATAAAAGTGCGGTGCGGAATTCCGAGGTAATTATTGAGGTTTGGAACTCAGTGTATAAACTTTTTATAACGAATTTAATGTGTTCTGGGATGTGGTGGTAGTCAAGTACTGATTGGATGAGATTATGATGGACTTCGCCGAAAGCATTCTTCAGATCAAGTAAGGTGATGACAACAGCACGTTGTCTGATCCGGGCTTTGTTGATAATGCCAGCCATTTGCGCAGTGTGTTCTAGAGTGCCAGATAGGTTAGGGGTGAAGCCCTTTTGTATGCCGTGTTCGATAAAGTTATTGGATGCGAGGAAGGAATATATTGCGTTTCGAAGACAAGATGTAAATACTTTTAATGGTATAGACTCAAGTGTTATGGGACGGAAATTTGACGGGTCATCAGTGTTACCTTTCTTATGTATTAATATAGTACAGGCTTTTTTCCACTCATTCGGGACAGTTCCAGACAGCCAAACTTCATGAATTAGTTCACTGAGGTAAGTTCTCAGATAAGGACATCGCTTAAAACATATTATCGAAAGCTGATCAAGGGGGCAAGGAGAGCCAGACGATTTCATTTTACGTATCACATTAGTAATTTGTTGATAAGTCGGGGGGTCAAGGTTGAATTGAACTTCGGGATCAGATAACTTTGGTATCCAGCTGGGAATGTTAAACAGTCTATTGGGATTAATTTTAGCCAGAGATTTACAAAAATAAGTAAAGCAATCTGTCACGTTAAATGATGGTAATATTGAGTCCTTCTTATTGATAACGTTTTTAATATAACCCCAAAAGTTCCGTCCGATATAATTGTCATGATTGAATGACTCATTGCTATCAGAGGTTAGCCCATCCTTGTTATTATTACGAAGCTTATCATGCAATGTGCGGGAGACGTATTTAATTTCGCTAAGGTCACCTTTGTTGGATTTTAAATTTTGCAAAGCTTTCTTTAACTCCTTTACAGTATATTCTTTATATTTAGTAACCATGTTTTTGTCAGGTACCGTTACGTTATGTCCAAAGTTATCAGCAAAGTAGTTATATATAACGTCGTTCAAAAGCTCGATCTTTGAGTTCACGTCTCGCATTCTGATTGGATCATCTAACTGGAGCGCACATTTAAAATAATCATTAGCCGTTTGCCACCCAGAGTCATTTTTCGGTAAATTTATGCCTTGTTTCAGTTCGGGAAAACTTTCGTCATTAGTCATATCAATGTCGTTAATAGAATTGTCATTTTCGGTGGTATCTGCAGTGTTATCCGTCGTTATTTGCTCTTCAAGATCAGCAAACAGCTCGTCGTTAAGGCCATGTATCACTTGACAACTACGCTGATGCATTTTAAGGCCACGCGCACCTCTGCATATCTTGCCACAACAACACTTAACAACAGTGCGGCTTGGTACAGGAACATTAGGTGACTGCATAACAGGCACATCTCTCGATGTAATATTAGGGCGGTCTTGCTCAGCGTGATTAATCCGTTGTTTACATCGCCACGAATGGCGACCAAGCGAGACGAAGTCTTGTCCACAAAACGAACAAGCGACACAAATCGATAACATAGCAATAATGCTTGAACGAATCATAATGAAAATCTTTTTGTGATGAACAATATTAAGAATTATTAAGAAATACTGTGATTCAAATACGAAATCAGCGATGAAACTATTGACATGTACAGAGCACGTATAATAATAATAATAATAATAATAATAATAATAATAATAATAATAATAATAATAATAATAATAATAATAATAATAATAATAATAATAATAATAATAATAACAAGCAACATTACGACTTCACATCACCCCTGTATATAAAGGCACTAGACTGCGAGTGTTTAAAAATTGAGTTGCAAGCGTAATATTTACCTAAACCAGAATAGCGAAACATATTTGATATGCTACGTGGCTTCCGTGAAAAAGGTTTTTTTCTGTCGCTTCCTGCTGTATTGACTATTGTGGCTAACGTGTTTGTTATGCAATTTTATCACAGTTTTGGCGCAAAGATTCGTTCATACAGGACAGGGATCGTTTATAATAATCACATGAGTACCTTCTCTTTACCCAACACAACCAAGTCCTATCAACCCAAACCTTCAAAATCCAACTACATCGAGCCAGGAAAACGTTCTGTGTCCACCGCTTGCCCCACCATTGTGGTGGATAAGGATGGATCGGTAAAGATGGTTGTGGGAGGATCGGGTGGTTTAAGGATCACATCTGGTGTACCCATGGTAAGGAATTTAGTATTATTTGGATATCTTGATTCATAGTTTGATACATCAATGTGGTGGTCATATCTTCTTGTATTTTCACATATTTGATATATGGTTTCTAATAAAATACATGAAAAAGTTCTCAATTCTGATTTGCTAAGAGCAGTGCAGTTTTTTTCAAAACACAGTGCCAAAAAAATGAAATACAGTGGAAAAAAAGGGATTCAGTGCGAAGTTTTTAAATTTTCTTGATTTTTTATTTTTCAAATTTCTTAATTTTCTTAATTTTTTATTTTTCAAATTTCTTAATTTTCTTAATTTTTTATTTTTCAAATTTCTTAATTTTCTTAATTTCTAAATGTGACTTACGCACGTGACTGCATATTTTTTTATGTATGTTATTAATAACTAACCGTATGGTCTCTCGTGCAATTTGAAAAAATAGGTACGCTGTAGCGTACATGGCATCCACTGGATCGGAGGCAAAGAAAGATACTTAGAGCGGAAAAATAAATGAAATGACCGTTTTATTAAAATAAAGATGTGCTATTTCATATCACCCAAATTTAGAGGTTCCCGAATATTTTAATTATCAAATATTTTAATTCCATAGCAAATTGGAAAGTTGGTATAATATATTAATGTCGATGAAAAATGTTTATAATATTTCTCTTTGCAGTATAGTTTGCAGATAATACCGTTTATTAATAGTATGCGCTATCTGTTCGAAGTTTTTTTTGTGTTCCACAATCTAATGAACAAGATTTCTTTCTTTCACTGTTGCGATAAACAAGATTTCTGTGTGTTTCGCTTCTTGGGTGAATAAGTTATGGCTAGGACATGATGGCTAGTGACGTAATGATGTTCGGACTTGATCGCAGACGTGACGTGAACAATACCCAGTGACAATACCGCCTTACGCGGGGGGAACAGTATCAAATTCGTCGCTAGTTTGTCACTTTGATACCATCCCGTGTAAGGCGGTATTGTCACTAGGTATTGGGCCGGTATTGTTTACGACCGAACAGTTCGAAGTATTATGAAAATAGCCGAAATTGAGAGAGATTTTGGCTCCGTTCGTGATGGTTGTCCAATACTGTCGAACGTATACGAATCGTGGGGATGGTAAAACATTGAAGACAATCCGTTCGGTTTGCACGGATCGTGAAATAGTATAGGGATCGTACGATTCGTACGAACTGTGAAATGGCTTACGAACCGTACGGTTCGTGAATTTGATTTACGGATCGTGAGCCTAGATACTTAGGCCTACCCTTGGATGGTAACTCTCCTTAAATGCCTAAAATCGCATTAAATCGCGGGTTAAAATTAACCAAAATTCTCTTAAATTGGATTATTTTCAGGATCTAAAGACCCATAGCTCCCATACTCAACTAGCAACAAAATCTAGTTAGCTAGATTAACTAATTTTATTTATATATACTATAGAATCAATGGTTTAAAGGGAAGCTGGGCTAAAAGCTACAATCATTTACATGACTTATATAGATGCCAAATTGCTGTGAATAAATTAAATAATTAATGTAGAACAATAGTTGCACTAGGAGAGCACGAGAGTCAATCACTGTTGGCTAATATTGTAAATATTCGATATCATAAATTACATTGACTGTCAAACGTGAGGTCGTGAGCGAGATTTGCAAGTTTTGCAGCTCTCATGGCCTGAACATAAAATAAACAGTAAACAACGATTACCTTTTACATATCATAAAAAAGCGGAGTTTTAAACCAATAGAATAATAATAACAATAACAATAATAATAATTTAATTTGTTTTGCGCAAGTTCCATTCAAATATGCTCACATGCGCATAACAATAATATAAAAACAAAATCTAAATATTTACATGAAAGATAAAAGATAGTTAAGACAATCCAGACTATTCATTCATAATCAGTATAGAGTATATATACTATTAGTTTCGTAAAAGATATATCATTATTGATAAAATCACATTATTTTGTTATTAAATATTATAATATAAGCTTTCCTAAATAAGTGTGTCTTTAAGAGTTTCTTGAAGCTCGCTGTAGATCTATACGTCTGATATGAACAACTGGAGTTACACTTTGTGCTCATCCGACAAACATTGCAATCTCTAGGTATATGAATGTGTCTAGCCCGCGAACGGGCTAGCCACAAAAACTTTCATAACATCACTTGTTGCTATGGCTAGCTTTACCACAGACAGTATTATAATTATATACATAAACAAAAGTAAGAATACAACAACAACAGCGACGGCGACGGCGACGGCGGCGGGGGCGGCGGCGGGGGCGGCGGCGGGGGCGGCGGCGGCGGCGGCGGCGGCGGCGACGACGGCGACGACGACGACGACGACGGCGACGACGACGACGACGACGACGACGACGACGACGACGACGACGACGACGACGACGACGACGACAACAACAACAACAACAACAACAACAACATTTCGTTCTCGACCGGTAATCGGGTCTTAAATACAGCCTTGGGATAGATACGATTTTGACCAATCGGCAAACAGGAAAATTAAACTTTGATACTATATAATAATTGAACTTAAATTGTTTATTTCAGGTAATAATGAACAAACTCTGGTTTGGATTAAGTCTGGAAAAATCAATAGACCGCCCTCGCCTGCATCATCAGCTCTTTCCCAATAGAATCTACTATGAGAGAAATTCACCATACAGAGTTCCTAAGTCTGTTCGCGATGGTCTCAAGGCACTTGGACACGAGCTGCGTTGGTCGAATAGGTATTGTGCAATACAAGGCGTCTATAGGAATGAATCGGGGCATTTGTTTGGCAAATCTGATCCAAGAAAAACTGGAGTGGCTGTTGTATTGTAAGCTGGAAACTTCGTGTTATATTCTGGTACAAATGAATCTTGGTTTCTGTCGCGTAATCTGATATGCACGTATTGGATTTTATTTTTGATTTTCATACTATAATTCAGTTTTTAATATTGCACATAGTTATAGTTTTAATGAACCAATAATAATTCTAACAATAAAATTTACTGACAGCCATATTTGTGTGGCCACCAAAATCCAGTGTGGTGCAGTTAACAAGAAGTTCTTTCTGTTTCTGCTTATTGCTTGGAAAGAAAATACATTGCCTGATATAAATTGGTCATCAGTGGCCTCTCTCCCCTTTTATATTTCCCTGGGAATAGCTAATAAGGTCACACCACTATGGCTCAAATGTTAAAATGTTCTAGAACTCAATGGAATGGATATAGGAAGCTATATAGATTTCGAATTATAATGAAAAGCATATCCATTATAATGTAAACCATGCTAATGTAATATTTTTTTGCTTGGGAATGTTTTGTGGTAATTGAGCATCTATGGAACTATGCATTGAACTGACCACAGAAAATCTATTCCCCAGCGTGGTATGCTATAGGCACCTTTTCGCACAAGGACACGGCTAAAACCGGCTTAAGCTTCGTTCTCGAGATATTTAACAATTTTTATATGCAAAATATCCTCACTATGACGTCACATTGCATAACGACTTCTAAAAAACCCCTGCATGATCTTGCTATATCGTTCATCGAAATCGTAAAACCGTGCATATATGTGTTAGGGCAACATGCTATGCAATTATATACTATATGTCGAAAGATTCGAATCAGTTATCGATAAGATTTATAATTTAAATTTCACAAAGCCGTTACGCAATTTCATACGTCATAGTTTAGTGGTTTATTTCTATAATATAGGCTACAGATCAACATAAATATCTGACACCTCATATGCAGCAGTTGAAAGGTGCTATGACTTGCGTGTTGTTTGATTATTACATGTTATTTATATAGTTGATTTTTTTTTAAATTTCCATAAAGATTTTCTAAAGATTTTTTGTAGTTTTCATATATGTTTCTTATTAATCTTTTCGCTTGTTTAATAATTTATGATCTTATTGCTTCCTATTATTACTTATAAATGTACTTATTATGCATGGTTAGACAAAATCATTATTATTATTAAAGGTTTATTAAATATATAAAATTGCACCAAGGTGAAATACTTTATATTTACATAACAGGATACTTTAAGTATACCGCTATTTATCCTAATACATTAAATATTAATTATTATTGATATTATTATTAAATTGAAACCACATTGCAGCCAGAAGCTGAATTGCGTGGATTACATATTATCACATGCACTACATATAAATATATTATTAATACAATATTATAAAACCCACCCTCGATTAAAATTCGATTAAAATAAGCATAAAATCTATCCTACAAACTTCCTACACATAGCAGGGATGAAAGAGTTATAAAAGCGGTTCGTACGTGTAACGTACATATTAAAATACCGATTCGTCCTGAAAGAATAATCAGTCTCGTTCTTCGGGGGCAGCAGATGATGAAGTTTATGCATTGGATCCTTGATGATACTCGTAAAGAGTTTGTCACACATGTCCTCTCTTCTTTGAAATAGAGTAGGCAGTCTATAATACTCAAGAGCCTCACAATAAGTCATTTCAGGAGATAAAATTTTTAGCACACGTTTCTGGACAGTCTCAAGTTCGTCTGCCAAATACTTTGGGATGGAATGATGGAAGGCTTGCGCACAATACTCGAGCACAGGCCTGATCACTGTGCAATAAAAGTTCAAAACATCATTGACATTTACGCCTGCCCGTTTCAATAATACTATAAAATAGAGGCGTTTATTAGCTTTCTTTATACTCTCTCTGATGTTATCTTTCCACTGAAGTGTGCCTGTCATAACAAGACCCAATAATTTTGCACTCTCAACTATAGGCAATGCTTCTCCACCCACCAGTACAGGATCAAAAGGTTGTTTAATTTTTTTTAAATCGATTATCAGTTCTTTACATTTCTCAGCGTTAAGAGATAGCCCATTTGCCTTCGACCAATCTTCCACAACATCAACTGCGACTTGAACACGGCTCTCTGTGTCCTTACTAACTACTTCAGCAACTGTTGTGTCATCAACAAACTTCCACCTCGATATATCACAAATATCAAGATCGTTTATCATTGAACAAAATAGCCATGCCCCTAATTTTGTACCTTGAGGGATACCGGAAAGTACATCACCCCACTCCGAAAAGCAGTCATTGGATAATTTCACTCTCTGCTTTCGATTCATCAAAAAATCGATTGTCCAGCGAGCAACCGCACGTGGAATAGCTAAATTGGAAATTTTATCAGCCAGTAAAGCATGATCGATAAGGTCGAATGCTTTTCTATAATCGAACAGGATGACTCTGACAGCAGAGCCAGTGCCATCAGTAGCTTGCGACCATTCATGGATCATAGATATAACAGCGAGAGTAGTTGAACTTCTTGGTATTACTCCATATTGACTTGGATCGATTATACTCATGATAGCTGGAGCAATGTATTTTTTAACAACACAGTCCTCAGCGATTTTCGAATTAAGATTTTCGATATTAAGACAAGTTATAAACTATTACAGTTTTTGACTAGATATTGTTAGAATATTGACTATTTGTATTTACTATAAACCTACTAGTAGGCTATCATGTATCCTGCGTTCTGATTGGCTACGCTACTAGTAGGCTATTAGTGATAGCCTACTAGCAGCAACAAGCGGCGAAGGGCGCGAGAGTCAATGGCCGTTTTTAAGTATTAAAAGCTGCATTTAAAGGGAAAAAGCTTATCAAAATGGCCTAATTTTGGTTCTGGATTACACACAAACAAAGACTCTTGGAAACTGCTAACACATGTGGTAAAGTTTTCTCAACTTTGCTCGTAGTTTTGAACATGAAAGTGAGAGGCGAATTTTTATAAAAATATTTATTTAAAATATATACACAATGTTATTTGTTTTTATATATTCCAAGCAGAATCGTTGAAATTCAACAATACTTTGTAGCTATTTTCCCCTTTTTTCTTAACCTCTTTAGTGTGTGCTTGTTTTAAGTACGAGTTCATGTATTTAGCTGTCATTTTAAAGAGTTTTTTCGTTTAAATGTTGAGATTTTGGCCGAGTTTGTTTTTCGCCTTTTCGAATTTCGAGCCTTTTTAAGTCGAGTTTTTCCATTAAATTTTAATCTAAAATATTGTCGATGTATACAAGATTATGGAAATGGTTTGCCTCTTTATGTGCCAGATATTTTAAAGATTTCAACGACATTTGGATAATCGGATTCTTTTGCATGTGTGTGCATTTTTATTCGGCTTTTTAACGTAAGCTTTATTTACTAATTTAGTAACAATTCTGGAAGTCATTTTGTGTTCGAAATTTTGGACTTTTAAAGCTTTTGTTTCCTTCATTTAAATAAGTTTTAATTAACCAAACTTTGCTTCTATAACGGTCTCTTACTATTATACTGTTTTACGACATGTTTTTTAACTTTTTTAAAACTCACAAGTTGTATTTTTCAAGTCATTCTTGAGAGTTCGCAACACTGAGTAGTTGTCAACAAAGCCGAGGCGAAATGTCGCCAAAGCCCAAAGGAAGCCATTTAAACGCTCATTTCGTTAAAACGTTATTATTTTATATAAAAATCAAGTGAAAAATTCCGTTTTCTTTATGTGGTTTATACTAAAGCAATTAGACAACTCAGCCTCGTTGTCTCTGAACGAATAGTCAACTCGGCTTCGCCTCGTTGACTATTCGATCATAGATAACTCGGCTTCGTTGTCTAATTGTTAAATAATATTATACTATTTGTCTTACATACATTAAATATTAAGACAAGTTATAAACGTCTATTATAATTGACTAGATATTGTTAGAATATTGAGTTAGCGCCGGGAGTTTTTTACGGATATTGATATCACATTTTTAATCTAAAACAGCACATATATATAGTCATAGACATTATTAAACATAGTGCATTTGGTCAAACAATTACGATTTCTGAGATTGGGTTAAACCTACAATCCTGGACAAAACGTTGTGGACAACCCACAGAATTTGGCCTCGAATGGTGTTTTTTCTAAATAATTATCCCCCCGCTCCCCCAAGCCAATGTTGAATGGGATTTTTCATCAAATACGAAGTGTGGTTAAGTTGGATATGCAACATTGAAGAGGGGGAGTGGGGGATGTGCAAGTAAATTCAAGTTTTAGGTGTTTGTTATGATTTTTGCAAAAGGGGATTAAGTGTCCACATGAGTTTTGGCCCGGATTGTCTGAAAATCACTATAGAAAATAATACACGGTTCTTGAATCTAATATGACACAAAACGGAAAAAAATATGCTTTGTAAGTAAAATTGCGCTTGTTTGCATCTAAATAACCCATTTCTGATCATCTTTTGAAAAAAAATTGTCCGGTAAGGAACAGATTTCCTAACCAAAAAACGCGCCCACGAACCTAATTTTTAGGAATAATTATTCGACGAAAATGACAGGAATATATATAGTTCAAAGTTTGTTTATGCATTCTTGAAGTGCTTGAGAATCAAATTTATACAACTAAATGGCATTTTTCATACAAGTATTATAATTCGTTAACTGCAAGTCTTGCTGCTTACGATATATGCCAGTACGTTTGTCTGTTTTAACTATATGTTACAGCTTCCTTCTGACAGTGCAATTTCAAGGTGCATCTAAAACTTGCTAAATACAATGCTTGACAGAAAACTATACATGATTTAAGGCAGGAACTAAACATCTGAATTATATATTAAGTTACAGGGCTTTGCTATAATTGTTAAGTTGATATGTTATACTTTCCGATCGAGTGACGTAATGTGTAACATAATATTCAAAGCTCGAAACACGGTCTACACTTTTTTTTGCAGTGATTTTAGAAGTATATAAGCGCGCAATCGATTAAAAATATAGATTAAAAGGCTTGTCCAATTACGTTTTGCACCAGTATGCAGCAAAACATATAAAATCAGCTATGCCTTAAAAATCGCCACGGTCTACAAACAAAAATCGTATTTTCATGAATACTAATGAGCTATGATCTATTATATTCAAAGAGCTACTTTTAATATGTAGACCGTGGTAACTTTTTATTTCTCTACAGTGTAAATTACGAAAACATTTTAATAACAAGTATAATATGTATAGGTAGTTCCCTAAGAAGAAATCGTTACATTTCAATGCAGCAATTGTGTATAATTCAAGTCCGAAGTTACTGTAGACCGTGCTGGCGTGCTAGTCGGCGCACAGTATTGAAAAGTGTAAGGCAATATTTCATTATTTGACAAACGCCAATTGTAATATAATATTTACAAGTATAAGTGCATTGTATGTATTTAATGGCTGTAGCTGGATCGAGTTCGCGTACAAGTTTATGATAGACACTTATCTTTGGAAATACTAAGAATCCTCAATGTCAAATTATATTGCCTTTCAAATGGCGAAAAAGGTTAACATGATATATTTCATTTTGAGTACTGAAGCTTTTCCAGTTTGATATTGCAAGGTTCTTGTCATTGGCGAGTAATATATTAGGGCTGTGTATAAAAATATAGGCTGTTCAAAACTACAAGAGTCGTTAAAATCAGTAAGTATGCAAAAATACAATAATTTATTCCATGGAATAAGGTAATTGCTACATAGCTTGAGTCTTGAGACGTTCTGGAATCATACTGAATCTCCGTAAATATGACACTGAAAATTTTCTGCACCGTCAATTTCTCTCCTGTTAAAGCCTAAATGCGCTCCTTGGCTATGTATCTGAACAGTAAAGTCGGTGTACCTTTCATGTATAAGATTGAGAAAAAGTTATGCTTGCACCTATTCAGTATAGTTGGTTTTACGCACGCTTCCCACAAATTAGCTTATATTTACAACATCCGGAAGTGACGTAATTGCTAATAGTGACGTCATCAGCGATCAAACTGTATAACAAAAACTTAGAATACATAGGTATGCGTCATAGTCTCATCAGACATATCAAATGTTAAATAACAAGTTATAAAACAGCGCTTCTCCATGCCCATCATTTTTCAGACAATCCTGGACAAAACGTTGTGGACAACGCATAGAATTTGGCCTCGAATGGTGTTTTTTATAAATAATTATCCCCCCGCTCCCCCAAGCCAATGTTGAATGGGATTTTTCATCAAATACGAAGTGTGGTTAAGTCGG